CACCTGCCCTCCTCATCATGTCTGCCCACATAGGCCAGCCAAGCTATTCTGCTACCCTTTAGTTCCCCCTGCCCATCCTACAGAAAGAGCTGCAAGACTGACTGGATAAAATCCTGAGCCACCTTCTCTGATCTCTGAGCTGACCATGCTTTGGGCAGCAGGCTGACTGGAAATTCCTATGCTCCCTTCTAAAGCAAACTATTTGGTGGTTCTAAGTTTTCAAGCAGGAATAGTAATACAAAAGGTTAGAAAACTCAGCTCTGTAACGTACTCCTCCAAGGGGTATATGCTTCCTTTCTTAAGGATTTTCCCGTAATCCTAAAGGATAGGCTAATGGCCACCACAAAGCCCAGGATCTGGACCCCACATGCCCAGGGGCTCAACATATTCAGTAACTCAGAATCAGAATCTTAACATACCTTTAGGCGCTTCTGTTCACAGGATTTCCAAGTTCTTCCTGCCAATGGCCTTTTTTCAAGGTCTCACAACTTTGACATTCATAGATTCTCTTTCATAGCACTCACTGATGAAGTGCTGACTTGAATGCCCCCTGACAAGTTTCCTGAATGCTGTAGTATCATTTACTTGTGTTACAGCATCCACAGTAAAAAGCAAAAATAAAAAGCACCAAAAAGTCACAATAAATGGTGCAATTAAGGCAACATAACACACTTTAAATCAGAAGAAGAGCTACAGCTCAGCTTCTAGGCAAGGAAAGGTTATAATTTACCATAGCAAGACAAAGAATATGCATCAAATTACTAATGTTTCAGAATCTTTCTTATGCACAAGCATCAGCAAAAGTGACTATACACTTGCCCACAATCAGCAAACAAGAAATGGAGATTTTTCTTCTCTAATTACTGCAGGTTATAATCCTCCTGAGTGTCTCTTTCCCCTTCAAATAAACCCACTGGTGCTGCACTCATATTAGCAGAATTCCCCACCCAACCTGGATGGTTCATTTCCCTGGGCCTGCTTTTTTAAGGTGAGAAGGAAGCAGGCTTTGCCAGAGGGTGATTTAGAGCATCTGATGGCTTAGGAGCATAACTTTGGCTATACCACACTTTCCTACAAAAACCTAAGATAAGCCTCCTAATCTAAATTAGGTGCTTAAAATCAGGTAGTGTGCTTATTTTTTTCCTTATCTCCCCATTAGCACTCCACATCCTAGTGCTCACCTGTGTATCTTTAAAGGTCATATCCACAGTTGGTAATTTCCCCCCCTATTTTTCTTCAACCAAAAGGGGCATATTATAAAAAACAGTAAGAAAATGCTATTGCACAAAGTTATATTGTGAAATGGAAACCATTCAGGAAAGGATGAAATGCTTCCCAGTGCTTTAATACGGCTTTGGAAATTCTTTAAATTATGAACTGCTAGTGTCCTGTTAGGCAATCTCCTGCAGCAGAATAAATCTTGGACTCAGGTGTCCCATAACACAAGTGACCTCGGATGAAAGCCACAAAGAGGGCAACAAAATAAACTAGCAGATGTCCCTTGACATTAAGTAGCCAGTGCTACATTTTCCTGCAGCAATACTGTCAAAAAGTAAAATGCAGTTAAATCAACTACAGCTCCATATCCAAATAAAAAGTAAGAGCAAATTAAATCTTTCCCTCTCTCCTAAAATTAGAAACAGAGCAAGACCATGAAGCTATAAACTGAGTATTTAGTCTATAAACAAAGCAATACTCTCTTTTTCTTGTTATTGTTAATCTTGGACGTGTTTGCCACACATTTTCTGTCTCTTCCCCAACCTGCAGCACAGTTACAGAATTTTATATCAGGATTTGGGCCTTGATTCAGTAATTTGACCCCGAAATGCTGAAAAAAAAATTGCTCAAAATCTATTTGAAAATATTTTACACAAAACTGTATCTAAAGAAAGCAAAAAAACAGTAAGAGAATCTCATGATCCATGCTTTGTGGGAATATCTATCAATAGAGAAGTCTGGCATCGTTCCACATTTCTTCCTAATTCAGCAGATCACAGTCACAAAGCCCCAAGAGGTGCACGTGAGAGGAAGACAGAAGAACCCAGCATCACCATTAAGCGAGATTTCTGTGTTTACAAAAAGCAGAAGCTGAAGATCTAAGGCAAGATCCTGATGCCCTGGAAAATCAGTGCATCCTGAAGCTACAGAACAGACAGCCAAGTGAGAGGATAACACAGCCTAATCAGAGCAGACAGAGATGAGCACATGCACTCCTTCTGTGACAAGCAGCCAGACATGATTTGCAACCACAAACAGCTGCTACTTCAGCCATACAGTGGCAGTGGTTTTTCAGTACATGTATTTTATTAGAAGAATATCCATCTCCCAGTATTAGAAAATACATGAAACAATCAAATGTGTCCTCACAACACTCAGGAAGAAGCAACCACAAGAACTGAGGCAGAACTACAGAACTGTGCAGAATTCTCTCTTCTTTACAGACCCACTTTTGGCAGTCAGAAAAGTCCTTTAGAGTCTCCAGCCTGGTGCCTCAGACAGCACTGAGTTCCAGTATCAGCCATACTTACTTATCAGAGGAGCCCAATGGGAGAGTATTTGCAGCCTCTTTACTTTAGTCCTATCTTCATTGGATCAGTAAATCTTTTGAATAAGAATGCAATGGGATAAGTACTCAGTAAATGAACACCAGGAGTAGTAACTTCCTTGGAGCCATTTCCATGCTTGTTCTACCAGTGAAATTAGTGCTTGAGGTACTTCTTGTGCATGGACTCTTTCTTGGTCAGGCTGGTTTTTTTTTTTCCATTCCATCACAACGGTGCAGACAGCCTGTCAGCTTTTCTTCAAAACAATAATATAAATAGAGCTAATCATGCTGTTCACCCTAAGTAAGTTGATTCTTGCTTGGCAGAACTCAACAGCTATGATCCTTGTTACACTGAGGAACCAGACTCCATGTCTGTGTTTAATCTCGCTTCATGCCGACACATCGCTGAGTGGTCTATTCATAGAAATGGATGGTGAGAACCTGTTCAGTTCAGTGCAAATTCAGATGCACTGCAGTGCTCTACAATTACTCTTGCTGGGGGGTCTTGTTTAAGCCAATACATCCTCCAGGAAGACACTTATGGCAGGAGGGAGACACGATCCAGGGTTTGCTTTCTCCATGAAGAAGTAGCTCTTGCAGAGAACAGCCACAAGTGCTGCTGAGGGCCATGTCAGCCCCGTGGCTGTGGTCAAATCCCCACACAAAGGAGCAGCTGTTTGGCTCCATTGCCACACCTTGCACGACAACCTGTCATGGCAGTCAGGTGCAAGGCAAGGTGTGTTGTGGAAAAAAGGGACAGTATGGATTATTTATATTTAATAGAAACTGCTTAAGGCACCCTTATTTGTTGCAGTTGCACATTCTGCTCTCCAGGGTGCTGAGTGAGAGGTGGCCAATATATTTAATAAAAAAGGAAACCATCCATTATTCATATATTGATATGACATTTCTGTACTCTATATTTTATTCTGAATCTCATTTATATGACTATGGATAGTTTTCCTCATGTGCAACACGGTACCATGTAACTTGAGCTCTGCCAGAAGAAAAACATTAATTCAGTAGGAAACTGCATCAGATTGGTTAAAATCCCAGTAATTTAATCAAATAGGTAATTAAATCATTTTAATTATTCATTTAACATAAGTGGTAACAAGAGAAAGCAAACACCGATCATATTTCACCCTTGCTGGGGACTAAACAAAACAAACTACCATTTTAAGAGATTGGGAGTTGGAATTCAGGTTAACAGTGTGATTCTAGCTAAAAGATGAACACTGTCAGAGGGCAGGAGGTGGCATAGGAGCCACCATTTTTTACCCATTTACTCTTTACAGCCTGTTAAAAGTGGCAACTATAACTTCAGAACCAATCCAGCATGTTCTTTAATACCTGCAGAGGGGTTTCCCAACACCCTGATACATGGTACAGATGATACCGTGGGTCAGCTGGAGTTCTGCTTCCAAGGCATCAGGTTCACCTCAAAGCCTCAAGAGGAATTAGCAATTGGGATGTCATTCATCACCCAGCTGAGAACCACTTTTTCTACAGGAGAGCTCATCACACCAAGCAACCCACACAAAATACAATTAAACCATGTCACTGCTAGACAGATTAAAATTGCAGCTCAATAGAGGAACTCACTGTTACTAAGCAATTTCATAAATTAAGTACGTTCTGGCAGAGCTTCTCTGGAAGGTATTAGCAATGATCCATACTAGGACTTAGCAAATTGCTTGGGTAAAATCTTAGCTCCATTAGAGCCAATAGCAAAGCTCCCAGGCACTTACAGAGAGCCAAAATTTTAATTTCTCATGCCAACTGCAACCCATTGCTACGGCTTTGAGGAAACCACACTGATTCAGCCTCCTGAGTTAAAAGACATGGACAGCTAACCACTGTTTTTGGAGAGACTGTGGAGGATTCACAGAAGTGGCCCATGCAGAAAAGGGTAAGTATCATCAATGTATCACCTATTTAGCAAACAGGCTACTTCAGCAACTCACCGTCAGGGAAACACTCCACTGATACAGACACCAGGTTTGCAGTTCCAGCTGGATTCCTCTCTTGTCCTGTGGAGGCTTGGTAGAAGTATCTTCTTTACGAATTCCATGCACAGAAGCTGGCCTAAACTCTGGTGCAATCCCCCCTCTCTCAGGACTGCAAGATGACTACCTTCACTAGTTTGGTATTTTGAGAATTGTATTTGAGTGTTCTGCAAACATCAGCTATGTTCTTTCACAGGCAATGGGTGTACATGAACAGTTGCCCTCACAAGTCAGAGATTAACAAAAACACTGCTACACAAATGCACATATTAACTCTGCATAAAACACACATTTGTTTAAAATTAATTCCCGGGTGTTCTTGCAAGTAGGTTTTATGGTTGTATGAAGAGAGGCTATAAAAGGACATTTGGCTCCTTGGTAGGTGGCATGTTACATTTTTTAAAGAAATGTTATTCCTCCCAGATAAATGCACAACAGATGTAACATTCGACCTAAGCAATAAGATTTATTACTATTTTTAAAGCAAATTCAGCACAGCTTAAGAGAACACTGTACAGAACTCTTTAGGCTAGGAAGAGGTTCTTCTTGTCATCGATGCATGCTTTGCATTTGCCAATTCTTGCCCTCAAAGCCAACCCACAGATTAGTATTTCAGGCTTCTTACAAAGGTGATGATCCTGCAATTCAATCTGCTAATGTAGCACATAGCAGGCTCCCTCTAGTCACTGCAGGCATGGGCTCATATCTTTGCTTTTAATATCAAAAGAAATCTGCATGGCCTCTTTGCTGTCTTTCTGAGCCCCAAAACATTCCATGTGATTTACATTAAGCGTAATACCAACAGCACATGCAACCAAAAGCAAGTGTCACACGTTGTTTGGCAATGAAAAATAAACACTACAGCTGTGATCAAAGAATGTGTCTTGCTTATATTGTGTTATATAAATTTCTTTAGCTCATGCATCTCCATATAAATATTTATTGTTTTGTATTTTCTTCAGAGGCCATAGTTCTTCTGTTTTCAAAAAATAACCTGCTTATGCATAGTCTTCTCTTTTCAAAGCACTGGTCTTCCTTTTGTTAAGTTCGTTTGCAATATCTCTGTGCACGAAAAGTGGTGAAAGATGGGTATGTGCAACTTCAGCAACAAACATGTTGAAAATACCTAAAAATGAGGAACAATTCTTGGATGAACACTGTCAATGGTAAACAGTCTCTGTGAAAAAAAAAAATCAATAGGCCTCCATGTCATGTAGTAATTTTGCATTTTTGCATAAGGGCATGAAACACGAAAATTAAAATATACCTGAGAATAACATTAAAATCTCATTTTCAAGAAAACACTCATTTTTGTTGCTGAACAGCTTTAAGCATCAAGTAATTTTTTTCAGTTTTTGCATGTCACTTCCTGTAACATAATCCCCGATGGTCCAGCAGGCAGCCTATGACCAACATTCTCTCAGGTGAACCATGGAGCTGACACTGTTGTATTCACAGTGGAGAAATCAGTGCATCTGAAAGGTTACCTCCTACCCCACCACACACAGAGCCAAGCACTTCAAATTGTGAACCTCTATACGGCCTATAAAACGGAATCTTAGACTTTCACCTAATTTTTTTTGATATGGACAACTACCAGCTGAAGGTATAAGCAGTGATCCAAACACTAGGACCCAGCAAACTGCTGCTTGGGTAGAAGCCTGGCTCCATTAGAGCCAATCGCAAAACTCACAGGCACTTCTGCAGTGAGCACTGGGATCAGATCCATAGGCCAGGAAAGTTTCTACCTGTCTATGGCCCAAGCACTGCTTTAGTTCTTCATTTTACACTGGATTTGCTTGATTGGTTTCATAAAAGCAGTGGAAGAGGGGAAAAAACCTGGACTAGAATCGTTTTCTGATCCCAAGTTCAAAGCATCTCACCAAATTTGGGGCTGCTCAAGCACATTCTCTTCCCAGAGAACGGCATGGGACCAACTTCTTGGACACTCCTCTAGAAGATCTGGGCAACACTGGAAACATTGCAGATCAGAGATCACATAAACACATCACCTCAATTTAAATGGATTCTTTCCACATTCATCACAATTACATGTCCCTGTAGATCCTCTCTAAATTGGTGTTCCCCAAAACTCTTTTAGTCAAGGAATCAACCAGCTCCCTTAGCCATGGGGTACTTTCAGTAGCCCTTTAGTAGGATGTATGCTGATAATCTCTAAGAAAGACTGTAAACTCACTGTTTCCTATTAGTGATTGCACATCAGCCAGGACAAGTAGTTCTCAGACTTTTTAAAGGGATGCAGCTGATTTCTGCCAGAGAAAAATTGTATTAGAGTCTTCACCTCTCATTAATGGCTGTCAGTCAGGGTACTGACATCCATACAGATGTTGCATGTTGTATCTGCAGTAAGTACTGGGATTAGATCCACAGGCCAGGAATGTTTCTACCTGTCTAGTGCCCAAGCACTGCTTTAGTTCTCCTTCATTTTACACTGGTTTTGCTTGATTAGCTTTACAAAAGCAGTAGCAGTGGAAGAGATGTCAAAAGCAAGCAGCTTGGCCTGCTCATACAACCTAGTTTTATACTAAGACTTTCTGGTATCTGGAATAGTTGCCTGGTAAGATTTGACACCCAAGAGAAGAGGGTGCTACTTTCACCCATAATATCAAGAAGTTCATAGCCACACCTGCTGTAGGCTTTGCTGCAGTGAGGGAAAAATGATTTCCTGTCCACCTGCAAACATAGTCTCTTGGACTTGAAGAATGCCCTCAATTAGAGATGCAGATCCTTGAGGAACTGACCACCAGACCGTCAAACATTATCAAGACTGACTACAGCACATCTCAGACAAGGACTGGGTGCTACATAACACAGTGCATTTTTGCCTATCCTTGGAGAAAATTTCAGTCTAAGGTGTGGGAATTTCAAAGGACCCATATTAAGAAGTAAATCACAGAGAGGTTCATCCTCTCCACACCCACCCAAACCACAGGCACAAGTGAGGGGGTTTTGTAGTTCTGTATTATCTGCATGCGCCAAATGAGAGACGTTGTTCTATATACAGAAATGCAATTGATAGGCTGCATTTCTTCAAGAACAACAGATTTTATAAAAATTGTTTAAGGTTTATCTTTTCAGATATTTTGAATACTCCCTGAAATATCCCATAACATTGTGGTTAGCAAACAGAAGGAAAGGAGGGAAGAAAAAGACTGAAAAGTATTCTGGACTCGAAAGACAGTTAATCATTCAGGTTGTTCACAATTCCTTCAGCCCACAAAAGTCTCAATTCAGACTCTTGCTTTGTAGTAAGAAAAAAAAAAATCCTCTGTTGTCCTACCATCTCTCCTCTTCAGTGTATGATGGAATCCAGAGTCACAAACTGCCATGACTTCACAGGCAAAGGGCACGTCCTAAAGCAGTTCATTTCATGTCTCCCTCACACCCCATGGGCAGCTTTTTTCCCTAAAGCAAAGAATCTCACAATATCATTTTGTGTTACATTCTTTACATATTTTGACTTACACTCCCAAAGCATATTTATTTCAGTCAGAGTGTGCACATGTGGGTTTTGGGGGATTGTTGAGGTTTGGAATTTTTCAGCTTTTTTCTCAGCTTGATATTCTGCACTCTTCCTGGAGCTTTGTGATTAAAGATTCTGCTTTGTAATGAAAGCAAGCCAAGTACTTCAACGTTGAAAGAGAGTGCAAAAAGAAGCAGTCAAAACATGTGGTGATTCTTATTTTCCTTTCAAGAGTGACAAAACAGCATATGCAATTCAATACCCAAGATCAGTTAATTTTATCTGAAAAAGTAGCTTTTGTAAGTTAACATTTGCTATGATTATCACCCATATAATGCTAATTTCCTATGTAAAACCACCACGGTGCCCACATGAGTCACCTTCATACTTTGAGAATACGGGCTCAGGGCAACGTAGGTCACCAGTTATCACAGCCTTTGTTTTATTTTACAATACATTCATGATTCTCTGTACTTTCAATGGCAAATACATCATGCTTGATTGGCAATGCTGGTATCTGATATTCCATGATTACCTTGGCTTGAAAGTGAGACAGTAATGCACATTCGTGTAACTCTCCCTTTAATGTAGTACAAAGCTGGACATAGCTCAGAAAGAAACCCCTAAAATCCATTACCTATTTATGATCATGTACAAACGGATATTTATCATGTTAAAAGAGAACCATATGTTAAAGTGGAGGCTAGAGCCCAATAAATCTTTTTGGATGAAAACCCTTTTCAAAAAAAGGAATAAAATAATTAACATTTGCTTTTGCCAGCAGAAACATTTGCTCGTGAATCTCCTGGGAAGGGAAGGGCATTTAACCTTTTTACATGCCATCCCCTCAGACATCTCTGACCCCACTGCAAAAGAGACAACAAAGATTCCCGACTCCATGCTGCTGATTAAACCCCTTGTAAGAAACATCTGGATGAAATTTTCTTGGCAGTTGATTTGAAAAGTACACAAGAAGCAGAACTAGGGAGCAGCCATAGTTCAGTCGAGTGACTCAAAGATGATGCTATGCAAAAGCAGATTTTTCCTTGAACACATTAACTCCTAAATATTAGCCTGTGACTGTGCAAGCAACCTCATTAGCAGAAGAAAAATAAATCCCTCTTCTACTCTGCATGCCAGTGTAGAGAAGGCAAACAGGCTTCGGAAAAAAGCCAACTCAAAAATCTTGTTTCTTTTAGTAAAATAACAAAAGGCTTAAACAGTTTACCTGCCTAATACTTAACTTCAACTGACAGGTAAGAGAAAAGTCGTCAATGCCCTTAACTTCCAAAAACCATTAAATTTTTGAAGGATTTCAAAACTTCTGCGGTTTCTGAGAAACTCCCCAACTCACTGGATGTAATGATTTCCTACTTATTGTCTCAGACCACGCAGCCCAGGCCTAAATTAGCAAAAATAACCTCTAATTTTTATAGCCTGACATTCAAAATAAAGGAAATCTTGGCCCTCTGCTGCTTGAGCTGAAAGAGCCTGTCCAGTGCAGCTCAGCAGACTGTTCCCCTTTGGAAATACAAACCCTGGAATTCTCACAGTTTTCCATATTTACAACAGGACTAAAAGTGAGAAATTTTCACTGTTGCTATTAATTGAGTAGCACCAGTGAAAAACCTACATGAACCAGGCCAACATTACTCTGCAGCTGCTATGTGACGAAAAAAACAAAAATAAGGAAGCGGCAGCAGAAAAAGCATCTGAGTCTGACACAAAGGAGCAGAAAAAAGGAAAGCAGTGGGGAACTTTCTGCCCCACAGCTGCCAGGTTAGGAAAATTCCAGAAGGAACAGGCAAAGACACTTTGTCTTTTCCAGAAGCCAAGGCATAGAGTGCTCAGACTCCACCAGAATTACTCTGACATATAAAAATGAAAGCTTCAGCACTGCCCTGGGCTACATTTACTGTAGTTGTGAAAAACTTGATGGGGTATGGAAAGAACTTTAACTTTTCATTTGGGACATTACTATAAGGAAGTCAATTATCAGCATGTGTTTAAAATTGCCTGGTAAATATTTTTAAGTCATAAAGAAATTAACACATAGAAACAAAATCTGGTCGAAACATTTTATATCCCATCCAAACTTCACATTCTAATGCACCCCTACTGATTTTTGCTACACCACCTCGATCCCAATAGATCTAAAAGAGGGGCACCTATTCAAATTAGTACTGCTATCACTTTCTCACTAAATGAACTTCTCCACAAACACCTTGTTATATAGAATTGTTTAGGTTGTAAAAGACCTCTAAGATCATCAAGTACAACTGCCAACCCAGCACTGCCGCGTTCACTGCTAAACCATGTCGCTAAGTGCTACATCCACATGTTGTTTAAACACTTCCAGGGATGTTGATTCCAACACTTCCCTGGGCAGCCTGTTCCAATGTCTGACCACAGACATTTCTTCAGAGAAGAAATTTTTTTCTAATATCTAATCTAAACCTCCACTGGTGGAAGTAGTCTTTGAAATATGGGAAAAAATCTGTCAGATGAAGAAATTTCAGCATGGGACAAGAACAGCCATCTGGAATGCAGACCAGAAATACAATCACTGAAGTGTAGCAGTATGAATTAAGTTTGAAGCTTAAGTCTGAAGTGTTTCTTCTATCAAAATAAATAAAATATTGCAAATATTTTGTACCACATTGTAATACCACTGGAATGGTAATGAATGAATAAAATCATAAAAGAGGTTTATAGAATCCAAAATAAAATCCAATATTCATCAATAATAGTGGAAATAAGAAGCTGTCATGTAGAACATCTACATGTGAGAGCCACACCACTTGTCCAGCCAGGAGGTGACATGGATGTAGATTTAGGGCAGCCACCTGCCAGGCCTGACATCTTAACTCCAGCCAGTTGAACTCACGGCTAAGAGAAATACTTTAAGACTCCTGCATCAAGGGAAAATCTGCAATTTTGTTACAACCCTTCCACTTAACCAGTGAATGCTTTGTAACTCCCTCTGCACATTTGGTCTGCACCAAATAGGGAAGATGCTGCAATATTCTGAATCCAGCAATGTGTGTGCAACCAACGAACAATTAAACCGAGCAGTAAAAAGCAGGTGACTGGAAAACATGGAACCAAGGCTTACAGTGTATCGAGAAATGTCCTTACACTTAAAAAATTATAATGCACTCCAAAATCCATTTGTTCAGGCAATCCATGTACAACAGAAGGCACTGTTATCCATATGAATCTATCAATTCTGCACAGCAAAAACCTGAGAAGTGCAACTCAATTAGATGCAGCCTGGCCCCTCCCAGTCATTCAGGTTCCTTGAGGACAAACGTTTCCTTTCAGTCCATCAAATTATAAAAACACCACAAAAATTTGTACATTACAGTAGCTGGTTAGAAAGAGCATTCTGGTGGGGGAAGCACACTGCTAATTTCCAGAAAACCTTCAGCAGCATTAAATTACCCTCCCCTATCACCCAGAAGTCACGATGATTTCAAGAAAATGTAATGATGAGACCATTCCCATTGACCTTTGTAGCTGATCCTTCAGTTGCCACCGGGAGTACTTCCAGCAAAGTTAAATGCTGTGATCAGTCCTTTGTTGTCAAATGCGTATCCACTTTGTTGTTCTATTGTCTTTGTCTCTAGAATTCAAACAAGAAAAAGAATATGAAAAATAGTCTATAGAGAACACCTTTGCCAGAGACAATACAGCTCAGCTAAGAATGCGAAGTTGGGGAAAAAAACTCTCAGCTGAGTCCAAATTTCATTCCCTAAATGCAGTGACAGGAATAAATTACACTCGGATTTTCTCTAAATGCATAAATGTGCACACCTCTACAACTGAGCTGAGAAATTAATCCTCTACAGAATCAGTCTATGTTACACTGTTCTGCATTCCTTTTGATTAAATCTGAATTTATTTTCCATGATGCAAGCTTTCTGCACATCTAAAACCTCACACTGACAGCAATGTTAGCAGTTAAAAAGTTACAAAACTGTCAAACACGTTATAATCGACAGCAATCTTCATCAAATGCCTGGCTGACAGTTACATATCACCTTAATGTGCTCTTCATTTCAAATGTCAGATTGTGCAAAACTAGTTCATACCCCGTTCAAACAGCAGCATGAGAAGGTAATTAATTAGAAGTAACAGTATAAAAAACAGTACTCTCTGAATAACACACACTTCCAGGCAAGCAATAATGTAAGCATAATATCCTACTCACGCTTCCTAGAAAATGTTAATTAGCACAGAGGACTATTCTCGTTGTTGTTACAGATCAGATGCAGTTCCAACATCCCTGCAACACATGAAATGGCCCCAGAGAAGTGACTCACCTGCAGCAGTTCGCCGGTGTTCTGCTAATGTATAAATTTCCTGCAGCTGCTTCTTCTGATCCTCACTCAGCGGCGCCGTCAGCGAATGGTACCAGGCTGCATCCCGGCTCTGCACCGCTGTCAGAACAGGGATGGATGAAAAGTGATTGTCAGGTGCAACAAAACGAAACACATGGAATTTCTGGTCGGTTTTAAAACAGAATCTGCACTGCAAAACAGGCTCAGTATTCCTGCTGGTTTTCTTAGCACAGAATCCCCACTCTAACAGAGTCAATCCATTTTGCGGGAGCTTAAAATACATCCTCTCCTTTCTGAAACAGAAAGTTTGTCCATGAATAATGGCCACACGGTTATGTGAGTTGAATACTCTAATGTAAAACTCATATGAAAACTGAAAGCAACAGAATAATTTCTCCATTATGATTTTAACGTCTAGAAGGTGACAAATATTTCTATATACAGCAGTCCTCTAGTGACCGAGGCCCACTTAATTAGGCTGCGATGGAAAAGTTCTGAAGGAGAACATGCAGAGAGTTAACCTCCGGATGTATTTGCTACCATTTGTTTTTTCAGCACTAGTAAGCCAAAAAAATCTTAGGGCTGACATCAGAAAGCAAGATCACATTTTCCATTTTCAGTTATCTAAATTATTTCTCGTAACAAAGAAAAGGGTTTTTCGCGGTGGTGGCCATAAACATCTCCAAACGATTTCATCACGTTATATCATCCTGCCAACCAGAAAACACGTACTTAGAAGTGCTTGTGTAAAAAACTGGTATTCATCAACACCATTTTCAAGGTCAAGAGGTGTGCTGAACCCTTCAAGAGCAGTCTCTTCCAATGCATCTTCATCCCAGTCATCATCATCATCATCATCTTCATCCTCTTCCTCTCCACCTCCACCACCACCTCCTCCTCCTCCACCATGGTTGTCTTGCATCGCCTGGCTCACTTCATTTGTCTCATCCTCATCACTCGATATCTCTTCTGGAAAAGCATTGATACATTTTGTAAAACAAAGTCTAAAAACCATAAGGAAACAACGACTTAAGAATCAAAACCAATTAATAAATCTAGGTTTTGGCTGGAAAGGGGACTCTGTTAACACCCTTCCCTCAAAATCTTAAAAGCCCTGGAAAAATGAAGCTGTTAAAATGTTTCCTATATTCCAGATCAGCTAAACTTCTGTTTCTATGCAGACCTGAGAAATGTGAAACTGTCACCTTTCTTCTTCTTTCATTTATGCAGTCACTCTGCAACTATAGGATCCAAAAATTTTGAGGAGATGTCTTCGATGAAGTGGTCCATCACTGTGCTTTTTAAATTACAGAGACCTCACAAACAGACACAAAACCATGAGTAAACCAGCTGTAGACCAATTGTCTGCCTGCTCTTCTTCAGACCGCTCCCTTATTTGAACAAACTTAAACCAGCGCCTCTTGTTTTGCTTTACCTTCCGTTCCACTTAGAAACTATTACACCCTGATTTAAATGTAACTACAACATGAGATTCTAAATGCTATTTCTTTCTTAAGGAAAAGCATTTCTGAATCATAATCAAGATGGAAAAATTCCCCCTCCAGTTCCAAACCTTCAGCTCTTCCTCTGTTAACAGTTTAGAAAGAATAAAGATGACTACATATGCGGCAAGCAGGGACTAAATCACAGGATAGAGATTTGAAAATTACTGTGCTTCTTCCATACTGTATTCCTACACATTGAGAAGGATTCTGTGATTCCACTACAGAACAATCATGTGTGAAATTTCACACATGAAATTTCAGGATTACCTAACCTGCTCACATCCAATCTAATTTTCAAACCTCAAACCATCTATCTACTGTTCCATGTCAAACAGATTTGCCTGCAATGCCGTGTATGATTCCTTCCCCACAATTCCCTCTGTAAGACATTCTTTGTCTTTTCTGGCAGTTAGGGGCCTGTCTACTCAAGGAAGCTCAGCTGCCTCAAACACCGTGTTGCAAACGACTTTCCATTTGGACTAAGAAGTCCTGCTAGGATTTCCTTTGAAATTCAACCAAATATGGTTTTCGAATAGTTGGGTACTAGGAACAGCTTCTTTCCAGGGAGTAAGAACATAACCAGTGGAGTCCTGGCAAACTCCTGCTGCCAGTGTGAGAAGACAGGGTATAATTATAATCTGGAAGAATGGACTTGCAAGTTACTCTTAAACCAATACTAACCTTTCACAGAATGTTAGCTGTCATACTTTGAAACATTTTCAAAACATTTTGGTATGAAAAATCAATTCCTAAGATGACCTTTCATGCACCCAGTAAGCTGAGCTATTTTCAGCAGACTAATGAGTCTTAAATACAAACTGCAATTTCTTACCCCCTTTAAATTAAATCCAGACAAAATCCACAATGTGAAAAGGGGAGATTTTACCATTATCTTCTGCAACGTGTTTTTCATCTTTAGCATGATCCTCCTGTTCTGTGAGTTCTCGTGAGGCGCAAACTTGTTTTAAGCCCAAGAAGAGGAGGAGGATTGAAGGAACAATCTGGGCAGCCACAGCATCCACTGCAGGTGGTCGGTTCTGCAATTCCATTAGGATGCTCAGTCCTATTATACACATCTTTCTGTCGTGGAGTCTGAAACAACACAGACTTGTTAGAAAAAAACCCAGATTTTTAATGCAAGCATATTTAGAGAGCATTAAAATCCTGGTGCTAGACATGTGAGGCTATGTTCAAAGTCTACTTTCAAAGCTCCTAAACAAACTATTTCCTTTGTTCTGAAACAAGTTCCCCACTGGAAAGTACTTGTCCAATAACAATTAAACACTTTTCAAGCACTGGTCAAATTCCTGAAGCAACTGTTTCTGATTACCAAATGCAAAATTTGTAATGCTAAATAAATACTGTTTAATAATTATGTAGACTATCTTGCCTTTAATAAAGCATTTGATACAGATTATCATAATTAAATAGGATGGAAAATTAATTTGCCTTGGCTTAGACAGCAGTACTATTGCAGGAACTGAAAATGGCAAAAAGACTACTAATGAAGAGTAATGATAAGCAGGAATGCACTGAATCGCAGGGTGCATTTATGGAGAGCCCCAGGGCTAGCTGAATTTAAACACACTTATTAAAAGTCCATCAGAATTGTTGTATTATACATCCAATTTCTGATGCTAACTTAAAACACATAGCTAACACTGGTGAAAGCAGGGAAATAATTCCACCCTATCAAGAATAATTGGTAGCATACCCAAATTAGGAACTTGCAAATGAGTAGACCTCCAATAAAACAAACAAACTATAGATAATTGAAGGGAAAGAAAATCATTAAATTAATAGCAGAAAAATTTTTATGTGACCAGAGTTGGGAAACTAGCTAAGAGCCCATGCTTTTAAATGTAAGAATTGATTTACACTTCCAGAAACAGAAGTTTCTGCAAACAAGACAGAAAAAGGCTGTAACTGCCTCTGCAGATACCCTTTGGTTCTCCTCTACTGGAAACATCAGTAGTATTCAACTCTGAGTTAAAATTACAGTATTCTGTAATTGGGGGCTTGAGAGGAGCTTGTTTTGTTTGAACTATTCAATTTGATGCTGATGGCTTCTGTGCAAGCCTTCCACAGGACAAGCAGTGCCAGCAAGACCTACAGAAACCAAGCAAACCTCCAGATGGCAGAAGGTGGCCATCCTCTACACTCTTGGTAGATACTTCCATTACTGAATAAGTTTTACTTTGGAATGAAGAGAATACAACTTGAGAAAGGAGAAACTCATCAGATGGGCAACACAGACTGCAATAAAGCTAACAGAGGAACAACCAGCTCAATCCACCACTTCAAAAACTGCTACAGAAATACAATTTTTTAAGTGCTTACAAGTTCATTATCAAAGTTTCTATGTAACATGCTACTGAACTATTATATCCTTTAAGCAACACAAGTGATCCTGTTTACAGCTTTCTAAACTTTAGTTATGCTTAAACAAGCCTAAAAATCTGGAGGGATTTCACTGTACCTCCCACATTGTTAGTCCTGTTAGAGTTTACTTAAGTGATTCATTCTCAAGAGTAGTTGACAACAAAAATAAATTACATATGACCACGTGGAACACTATGATCACAGAAGACCTTCCAAGAAAAACAAAGTCAACAAGCATGTCAAATGGTATGCTTTGTCACATTGGCTTGGCTGCTTCATTGCACGTGTTGAAAAATGCAACCAAAGTGGAAGCAGGCAAAGAGAGTCCTTCCATCACTGCTAACTGCAGTACTTTCTTTTCAGATGGAATGGGGTACAAAAGAAGGCATACAAACCAACCAAGGAAACTGTGACAGAGAAACAGGGCCTGCTTTGTGAAAAACAAACAAACAAACAAACAAACAAACAAAAAACCACCCAAACCTGAATCCCTTAATTCTCTCAGCTGAAGTTACCTACTCCTGTATGTTGGAAAAAAGCTCATTGCCCTTTGCTCTCATGCTGGCACCTTGAAGATCAAAAACCAATCTAAAGGTAATGCTACCTATGAATGAAGCAGAGCTTTTTTGGGAGAGCTGTCCTTAGTGCAAGTACAAAGGAAAGAACTTTTCCTACCTCCTCTCTCTGCCAGCACTGTCATTCAAGTGTCATTCAAAGCTCTGTAATCTATGCACAAGACTTCTATCCTGAATCTTTGACGTAGGGAAGCCGTGAAATTCCTTCAAGACCCAAACGTACAATGAAGCAATTTCAGTCACATGTGCCAGAGTAGCCAGTGACACCACCTTTTATCACAGATTTCAAAAAGCTACTGTTGCACAACATCAGTTCCAAAGTGCAAAACAGTAAAATGTAAAAAAAATCTTAGTAATTAATGGCTTAGCTCCATACTAAATTATCTTTTTGGGACACCAAACGAAGCACTGCAGTCTGACAGGGAGTCATCATTGGGAAGCAGCCCAAATGACCAAAATCACCAGCGTATTTGTCATGCTCCATTTTAAAGCTTCTAAACAGAGTTTTAAGAACGAACACACATGTCTCCAGAATATGCATGTTATTAGAAGGCCCGGCAGGACAGCAGAAATCCAGGCGTCAAGCCATCTTTAGTGAACCTGAGCCAGAAGGAGACTTGTTTCTTTCACCTGCCAGCAGAGACAAACAGCAGGAAAAGCATCTGTCTTGCCTTAAGTTCAGCATTCTACTATGCCCCAGCTGTATTAGGTACCCACAGGACTGAACAAGCAAAACAGAGTTTTATGTCAGTTACATATTTTTGTAATGGTAAAAAATGGTTTCAGGACCACTCATTTGCTTTCAAAAGGCTCATTATTTCAGCACCCTTCCATCTGCTCGAGGGAGCCTGGGTATGATTTTCCTTAGTGATTCGTGCTTTGAGATCTGTACCTATTTGCTCAGCAGCACACAACAGTCCTCCCTAACAATCACAGGCTCTGCTTATTCCTCAATGGTATATCCAGCCTGGAGTGTTAAACACACAACACACAGCACATGACTCCAAGCCAAGTCTATTTCTAACAAGCTGTGTGTGGTCTTCATAATCTGCAGGACCCCTTCTTGCTAATACACTTCCTTCCAATACAGGATAAAAAGCTTTTAGAATCTTTTGTATTTTAAATCTAGTCGAAAGTATTTCAAAGAAACATCACTAAGCCTTTCCTTTACTGGTTTGCTGTGTTCTTTTCTATTACAATCAATACAGCTCCTGGACAAACTGCAAATAATTACCCATTTCCTTCTAATTGCAAAGTTGGGACCAAATGAGATGGGGACTTCATAGAACTCTGAGAAAACCAGGATTTCTACTTTAACTCTTATCAAACAAATACCCCTATTCAGCTTCTAAAAAAAAAAAAATCACTTATTGAGGTTTTTTTCAGAAGCAAGTCCTTTCACCCTAGTTGACAGAGAAGAATTTTTAGTATGAAAGTAAGCATAAGTTGTGCAGATGTCTCACCCAAACTTCAGCTGTCAGGGAAAAGGAAGAAAGCAAGGAACAAATGTTTCTACAAATGGCCTTTCAGTTTGAAGTTATTGTAGAAAATGTTTATAAATAAATAAATATCCTGTGACATATGGGCATTACAGGCACACAACCCGAGAAAGGGTTTCAAGAAAGTCAGATTTTGTTTGCATTTCTGTCGTTTCCTGTTCAATTAGGCCTCTGAATATCTGGCTCCTGTTCAGATGATGACCCCTAATACTCTTAAAAAACCAAATGATCTTCTAGAAGCAGTGCTGTCCTGAGGGAAAGGGAGGAAGTCCCTTACAGCACAGTGCCTCACAAGCAGTACTACAGCAAAAGTCATACACCTGGAAGCCACATACTGAGGAGACAGCACTGAAGGAAGAGTGACTAAGATTTAAGCAATATTAGATTTAAGCAATTTAAGATAATTATTTCACTGCTGGTAGGAGTAGATCAAAGAGAGATTTTAAATCTGCTGCTGCCACTCAAGTGCAGAGTCTGAGCAGAATCTGGCATCGTGATCACGTGTTTCATTTTCATAGGCTTTGTCAACTTATGTCTCAGCTTCAAATAAGAGTTTAGTTGAAAGGTAGCTGCAGTAGCCAATGCTTTCTGAAAAGCAACACAGAAGAACCAAAAGTTAAGCTGTAACTCACAAGACTACTTGAGATTGGAGCCTAGTCAGAGCCACAGCATTTTTGCCCTCTGAATCTAGGCTAGTTTTTCACTGAATGCTCCAGGATGAACCGTTTCAGGCTATAAATCTCTTTCATTTTTTATTTCTTCTAAAAAAGGAATGACAAGTTTACCATCTGTAGGGAATGCCTTCTTTCCTACTGTCTCTGTTCGCATTCAACATTTGATATGTAGTAGAAAAAACTGACAGCACAGAGATGAATCTCAAAAACTTTGTTTTAACCATAAAAAAGGTAAAAATTATTGGCAATCCTAAAATATCTTGCTCTTTTCTAAAGCTGGTACATATAAAAATAATTTAGCAATTAAAAATAAAATTATGACAAGGTGCGGGAAGTAACTCAAAGGTGCCATTTTTCAGTTATTGACACTCCAAAAGAAATGAGGGACCATTGGGTCCTTTATGCCTTCTTTGTCACTCAGGTAACCCTTCTCATGGATAACATGTATTTCTGCTAAGATACAGGCTGCACTGTAGAGATTTGTATACATAGCAGGTAGAAGATGTCAGAATGCTTGTGATATTAAGAACGGCCCAGTTTTATCATAACAAATAAGAGACTTTTCCCCTACTTTTTATCTGTTTCATTTACTAATTTTAATTTTTTTTCTTCAAGAGACACCTTCAAATACAGACACAAATGGGGAATTTGCAGAAAGACTGTATACACCAAAGCAGGCAATTTCTTTTGTATCTCCAAGTGGATTTCACTCTAATAAAACAGACAGAATTAATGTGCAGAATTAATCTCTGAAATGAGAAAGTCTGTGCTACAATTCTACAAACTGTCGTGCTTTCTTTGTCCCATTGAACTGTGTAATTGGGACAGAGGAGGGAGGAAAACTTTTACCATGTACATTTGACATGTGTTTTAAAAATACAACAAAGGACACGCTGAGAACAAAACCCAAATAAACCACTTGGTCACTGATTGATTGGAAGTCACTATTCTATTACAGTTATAAAAAAAGGTAATGCAGTGCTCCAATGCACTGCTCTAATGCACCACACAGTTCTAAATTCAAGATGAATCCTGTGGCAATAATGCAGCCATATGAAGACAGCATATAATTCTGTTCAGGAAAGATTAACTCAAGTAAGAATTGGTATGGAGAAAAGTTACTTGGACAACTGGGGAGTGGAGGAATTATCTTATAAGAACTCCCCTGGAAACTTGCTTAGAAATGGAGAGACAAGATTGTATCAATAAAAAAGAGGTAGGAAAAGAATGACAACCTAAAAGAGGGTATGCATCTACGGGTCAGGAGCTGCCTGTGCTCATCCATGGCACGACTCCTAACACACACTTCATTCAGTTTGTTGGCATAGGCTTTGCACATAGAAGAGAAGGCACATTCTAAGCCTATCCATACACCTGCAGTCAGATGTCAGCCTCCAATAACAAAATAGAACTCCAAGCAGGAAGGTGAGAGGTAGCTGTTAACTACTTATGACTCTCTGCTTTGTCCTTAAGTGGATTTGAATCTCACAGACTCCATATCTCAGCTGAGAAGCAACCATTAAGTGTCAAGCACTGGACTTCACCTCTGCTCAGCATCAAGTGCACACTTTGCTATGTGATGACAGGCTTTGTTCCCCTTCATTTACTTTACAAATGTTCAGCTCCTGCCCAAGTGCACACTAGTGCAGTGCACACACATGTTCAGGGGAGGCTGGAATGCAGTTAAAGTTTAGGAGTATGTCAAACAGCCAGTACATCAATGGCACAGTGATAAATATGCAAGGAGATGATGCATAACTCACAGGGATCAAAATCAGTGTGGGATTCACTGAGCAGAATAATGGTTTTTTAACATTAAAAGGAGCAGTTAAAAATAATTTACAAAATATAGAACAGAAAATATGTATTCAGTGTTTCAGATAAAAAGTTAACATGCTGCTGAAATCCTGCTGGTAATCTCTGAATACTCAGGAAAAACCCTCAATACTTGCCCAAAAAAACAGTCTGTGTCATTCATCCACTGGTTTATGAACTGTGCAGTGATGGGCTCAGGATTGTGTGGAAATCTGATGTTCTCCAAGGTGTGCAGAAGTAGGTCAGGATTGTAATAGAGTGCAGCTATGGCAACTTGAAGACACATGGTACGGAGCTCACTTGTTTTAACTCCTCTGGTTAATCGCTCCAGCACAGCCTCCACAAAGAGTGGAATACACTGGGCAGAAAAAGGAGAAGAAAAGAAAAGGAAAAAAAGAAAAAGAAAGCAGTCATTATACTTGTTGCCAGATTATACAAAAGTTTAAAATACTTTTATCAGAATCGATGTCCACAGTTTAACTGAAGTCCAGGTATAATAACCTAGGAACACGTTCTACTCACTTCCTACTATAAAAGCATTTTAAGCCTCTGATCACATGCTTATAAATCAGCTCTTCTCTGAGCTAAAAACCGCAATGTTATTCTGAGCACAGAAGAGAATATTTGGGGTCATTTGGTGGAATTTGTTCTAGCCTGTATAAAAGGTTTAGAAAAGAACTCAAAGACATTCTAATCTTTAAATAAAGATTCCAAACAATTTCAAAACTAACAGGCATTAAAAACTAAATTACCTAAATCTGTTTTTCCTAAATAATGTAAAAGTGATGTTAGATTTCTTACAGAAGTTTTGAAATGAGTGAGTTTATTCAGATAAAATCAAGTATGCACAAATTTCCAAACAATTAAATACTCATCTACTAAACACATATATATTTCAATGTGCAGATTTACACTCCATAAAAATTTGGGAAGTATTATAAAAGTTTTAGTTTATGAGTTTCAGTTTAGTGTGTAACCATTTCAATTCACAGAGTTGTACAGCTCAATTAAGCCTTCCACCACCCACTTATTTCAATGCAAATGAATTGAATTCACTTTAAACTCTTCCAGATCTCCTTTGAAAGAAAAAACTTTCAGGGAACATTTTTATCTGCAATGACTTCAGATTGACATTAGTAAAGTTATACTGGTTTCAGTAAAATTAACTGAAAATTTATCACTGAAGTCCATGGACTGCATTGGTGGCAACATCAAATATGATACGTCAAAGTAATTTAGGCTCATTACATAAAGTCCAGAATTTAGCCCTAATAGAAAAAAGACTACTATCTAAAAGGATGTTCTAAGAAACTCCAGAAAATTGTTATTGTTTTTCCCTGCAATCACAATCCAGCCACAAGAAAAAAATCTGCACCAAGTAATTTAAAATATCAAAAAGTTCCTATGGCTTGGAGACACAACAAACAAGTAGTTGGATTTGTAGCTGGATATATAGCTAAACTCTCAGCCACAATGGTTTTAATTATATGTGTTTTGCATCAAAAGGGAAATTCTATCAGTAGAAAGCAAAAAAAAGACAACCTTGAACAACATATTATATCCTTATCGTTCAGTCTATATTTATTTTCTAGTCATGCCCATTAATATCTCATCTCAAAAACAAAACCCACAACCTTACAAACTCTCATGCGCTCATTTATTTATTTCCATATTTCTCTCCACTTAACATTTCCCTCAAATTCTCCAATTCCAACTGGTTTTCTCAGGAACCATAGATGGATCACTGGAACCAGTAAAAGAGAAAAGCTGTTCAATATATATCACCTGGTCAATACCCCGTCCTTTGCATTGAAGAACAATTACTTCCAGGAGTTTGGCTGCATGGCACTCTGCGTCTTCTCCTGCATCTCCTGTTAGTACCTAAAAATCAGAATGACAATTTACCAGTATTAATCACCAACAACACTGACAGCAAGTGCTCCTGCACCTGCATACACCCAAAAAATCTCTACACAGCATATACATATCTATTCATGCACAGGACATAAGCAAGGAAAAGTGGCTAAAGGAGAACTTTAAATAAAGTCAAAGAAATTGCTGCAGTTCTTTAAGAATGTTATATTATTTCTATGTCCTCACTTTCTCTTTTAAAAAAATAAATGTTACTTATAAGAATCACTGATGTTTCCCACATTGTTTCTGTTTTTTCACTTCAGTTCTAACAGTCACTGGCAGATCAACAGCCTGGCAAAGTGAAGTCCTGTTTCTAGGCTAGTTTCTGACTGAAAACAAGATGTATGCAGTCCTTCTGTGTATAGGCACACACCTGTGAAACTGAGTGCTTTGTCTCAGTGCATTTCAAGAGCATGGTCAGTGTCAATCAAAACTGACAAAGAAGTAGAATTCTCAAACGTACTCGAATTCTCTAAGCTTCTTAAAAATCAGCAGGTAGCTAGATGCCTAACACTCTACAATGCCCCAGATCAGAGAAGGACTGCAGCATGATCTCATACCTTATTATACATGAGAGACTCAGTATAAAGGAGAAACATGATAAGTGTAGGAAAAAACTTCAAGTGAGTTCGCACCTTAGCTGACAACTAGGGAGTCCAATTGCAAGACACAAAACCCAAGGAAATCAGGCTTCATTAATTCCTCTACTTACCAAAATAGTTGTTCATAGAAGAGAGTCAAGATGAACAGCAACTCTCTCCCACACAGATTTGTGCATGTAATTTTTTAAAAGCATGCCACTTTAAAAGTGTGAAGGTGCTGTATGTGCTCAGAACCGAGCTGAGACCAAAATTCCCTTAGTTCTGAAATGCCTGGCCACCACCTGGCATGTTCAGGTCAGTGTTTGTTAGGTACTAGTGATAAGCACAACAGTAAGATTTAGAAGCCTTACCTTTTTACACATGGCATAAATTATTTCTAAATGTTTTGGGTTAGACAGTAAAGTATCAGTGTCAATGGTCACATAATTATGCAAGAGAGGCATCATATCTGCAGAACAAGGAGAGTAAAAGAGAAAAAAGTTAAAGGAATCCTTACAAGTGCTAACCAGCAAGGGTGTAGTCCTATAACAGAATTCACTGGCTTATATTCTTGGATACCACTGGAAATTCAAACTTTGAAAAAGTCTTTTCTAGAATTCTTCACAAAGTGCACCATGGAGGGTGCATTGTCAGAAGAGGAACTAGGAGAGGACTACATTTTAATTAATTAATTTGCAGTTTCGCATTAGCTTTGAATATTTCAGCTTTCTTTGAGTTCAGGATCTCCTACGATAACTGATCACACTGACAGATTTGAACATGCTTCTCCTACTTAAATATGCTCCTGTTAAACTCCCACACTCAACAGACAGTCAGGGCATGACTCAAATACATGATCATTTTAAACCAAGACACTAAATGGAAGCGACCCTTATTAAGGTGGGGTTTGGAGATGAATTCTCAAACAGTGGAAACATCAGTAGAACAGAAGGGATTGTACCTGCAAAGTATTCAAAGCAATCCTGTTGGAAAACCTCATACAGAACACCTAAGAGCTGCCACATCTGAGGTGAAATCATCTGGCATGTTAAACTGAAGGCCAAGGAGAGAATTTCTTCATAAAACTCTGTAAAAGAGAATCAATTTGAAGCAGAGTGCTTTAAAAAATAAATTTAACTTGCAAATACCTTGAAATCTGAAACCAAGTCCTGAGTCATATAATGACTAGAAGACAGCAATTAGAAACTAAATCATACACAGAAAAATAGTACAAGGCGGAAAAGACTCTTTCAGATAGGCCTCATGTTGGCTACAGTTACAGCAATATGCATAGTTTTCCACTATCAATACACATCAAAAAAACATATCACCAGCACAACAAAGACAATGCTTTTAACCAATTACTGAAAAATATTTTATTTTCTCAGCCTTTGTTTTTTCTTAAAGGCCTTATTACAAAACCATGTAACTCGTTAGTGCAAGGTACTGATAAAGCAGTAATTTAATTGCAGACCATGTCCATAACAGACCAATGTAATTGTAGACACAGTCCTTTAAGATAACTAGCTAGAACTATAATCAGAACTGCATCTTCTGCTTCTGAGTTTGACCTCCAAAACACAACAAACAAGCTGACTAATGTACAAGAGGAGATCAGGAGAAACAAATTATAACTGAAAATTAATGCCTTTTTTATTCTTTAAAAAAGTACAAATACAGATGAATTCTGTTCTGGAAGAGAGCAATAGCTAATTTACATGTTTTTACATAAAAAAAATTCTTCATGGTTTTTCTAAAAATTATCTCTAACACATACCTATAACATGTTTCTGCAAAACAAGACCAATGATCTGTAAACAAATGCTCTCAAGCTGTTGAGTGATCTGAAATAAAAACATAAAGTAGTTTATTAAAAAAAATTAGAAATACAGTAATTTAATAAATGCATTAGACTAATTCAGTTGGAGAAGTTCTTAAAAAGGCTTTTATAATTTTTTAAATGCTGCATCAAAAATCACAATTATTATCAAATAAGATCTCACTGACACAGAAAGAATCGCTTTTTTCATGAATATGTGAAACATAAACTTACACAACTGGGAGACCAATTCCTAGGAATACTATCCAAGAAATCACCTACAAATACGGGTCACCATTGTAAAAAACTAGCCTTAGGCAAAACATTTCTCCCTAAACTCTATTTTAACAGTCTGTAATACAACTAGCCACTGTGAGGAAAATTAACTCTACCCCAGCCAAAATCAGCACATTCCAAAGAAGTGTTTACCCAAAAAAGTGCTAAGAATGTTACCCTCAGGATATAGATTCCCCTTGAAGTTGAGAGCTAAACAATGAAGAAATCACAAAAGTAAACTGGGCTTTAAATTCAAATTCAAAGATTGATTGGCACCAGTAAATGCATGTTCACGTCAAGTGATGCAGCATACATGGAAATGCTTGTTGTCGTGACTGAAAGGCATGTGGAATAGGAGAAAATTATGAAAGAAAATCTCACCTCCTTGTGATCTTCCACAACTGTCAGGATTGTGTCAATTGTGTGCAAGATGCCCATGGCCATAACTGTTTTGTCCTCTACTTCCTCATATTCCTCACTCTGAAGTACTTTACCAAATATTTCAGCCTGTGAACAAAACCAACCAGCTTGACATTCAAGAGTAAACTCACATTTCTAATTTGTCATGCAAAGCCAAGACAGCTAATGCAACAGCACCAATGCCTTATCTCTAAGAGCAGTCAGCACTGAAAGGGGAACATAGAAAATTGAAATCTCCTCTTTTTTTTAGAAGTCTGACTATGTTAAGTCTTTTGAAACATTAAATGGTTAGAGTTTGGCTCACTAAAAACAGTGACAAAATTCAGTATCTTTGAAAAGCCCATAGGTTTTAAAGATGCTTCCCAGAGTAAAGAAAACCATAAATACCGTGAATACTATAGGTGGACTCTTATAAAGATTACTTTAAACAGTGTGCACTTCAAAGTTCATTAAATGTTTCCCAAACTAGGCACATGCTTCTGACTGGACTGTTGTTGGACTATTGTCTCTTACCAGGTGTTGAGTCATGTCAACAGCGATTGTAGCCACTTCCTGACTGTACTCACAGATCATCTTCTGGATTACATTGGTAAGATCATCATTCTCTGTCTCTCTAATGATGTGCAAGAGCTCCTGCATAACTGGCCTCACATAAGGCTTCACATATTCCTTGGCTAAAAAAACCAATTGAAACCAGGTGAAGTCAACTATCCATAAACAAAAATACACAGCATCTCCAAACTACCAGGTAACTGACTACTCTTGAACAAAATAATTTTTTTTAATTGAATTTTAATTAATCTGAATAAAGAAATAAAAAAAGCCAAAAAACATACCCAAGGCACTTTTACAGTTCTTAACTAGTAGACAAAGTAAATAAATTGTACAATAATGAAATGTCATCTACAGCTAAAATCCAGTTTTGAGGGAATACTTGCCCTCATACATAGGCAGCATTCATTCTTAAACATGCACACAAAGACAGGTGATATTTACTTTGTTAAAAGAAACATGCTGATTCTAACTTCTTTTGTGCATAGACTTGCTGTAAAAACTAGAAGTCAGAATTCTGTGATGTACACAGTAACCAATGAGCAAGTGAAGCTGTCTAAACATGATGAAATGTTCTTAAATATATGCCTTTAGATGGTAGAAATGTTTAGATAAATCTGCACCAACCTCCACATCTCTACAAAAAAAGAAAAAATCAATAAATCAGTGTATAGAGTTGATAAATCACTGTCACATACCTTGTTCTTGGTTGCTTATTAAGGTCTGAAGGGCTATGGCTGCTTCTACTTTGACAGGCATTTCCTTATCTTCAATCAGGCTCTTCTTTGTCAACTCTACTGCATTCCTCAAGTTTAACTCATTGTGAAATTTCAAAGCACTGAATGAATGAAGTACCCAACAGGACTGCAAGACAAAAAGAAGAAAGAGTTAGGGACTATTGCAATTTTTAAGCATTTTTTTTAAGTGATTCAAAACTAACACTATCTATCTCTCTGTTTCCATGTATTGCTTTTTTACCCCCTTAATTACAGGGTATTCATACATTAAATGTAACAGGTTTTTTGCTGTTACTGTAACTCAAGCAGTTCTTTGTCATTCTTTCCCAAATTCCAATAAATTCAGCATGCACATAATTTGCATTCATAGCTTTGGTCCTTCTAGGGGAAAAATCAGAAAAAATTCAAGAAAATTAACTGTTTATGGTTGATATCAGCACCTGAGGATTTTCTTCAAGCTACACTCAAACTGACATTATCTACTCTGTGGAAATTCTACCTATTTTTCACAGGCATTCAACAACTTTAGTTACTAAGATATGCTAATGAAAAATGGCCACAACCACTGCTCAAATTCTCAAGTTCGATTTAAGAAGTAAACAACAATATATCACAGACTTTCCATCAATTGATTTAACTGAAAAATCATTTTTTAAATCAAAATTATGAAAAAATACTGTAAGACAGTTTTATTTTAAATTTTACTATGTCTTTGCTTTATTTCTTTCATTAACATTCAGAATGAAATCAAACTGCAAAGGAAGGAATCGTGGAAAATACCAAAATTGATGTAAGAGGTGAACTTACTCTAGCTCTGAGGTACCCCAGGTTAGACATGAATAAGGGAAATACATGATTCTGTAACATCAGCTCCATCTGATCCTTGAAAACACTCTTCTGTTGGTGTAAGCAAAAATTAATTTTGGAGACCATTCATTTTACTTCATCCTAGCCAGTAATTCATTTCAACTATCAACCATGGGAAATAAAATTACTTGTCTATATAATAAAGGTATTCTCTCTCAGAGATATGGATCTCATACCTTGAACACAACAAACTCATAAGCATAGCAAGTTCAAAGTCAGATAAGTAAAAGAACTGTACATATATAATATTCAACTCTACATTATTCATTACAATACTATAAACAGGAGTTTTCATTTTATTTAAGGCAATTGATTCTAGTTGATTTTTCTTTAAAAGTATTCAAGATAAATAACCTAGTACTTCCAATCTTCCTACAAAGGAGTATATACATACCTGAAGACAAAGATAAGCTTAATATGAAACAGATCTGAGTTCTCAAATGACCTACGGTTACTATAAGCATCAAAACTAATTATTTTGCACATTACAACAACAAAAAATCACATCTTTTTTCATGTTTATTAGTGGGCAAAGATAATTCCTTTGTGACAAAAATCTCCTTAGTTAGAGAAGGATATTTGATGAGTTATCCTTCATTATTTCAACCTTGGAAAATCCCAAGATATTCACAGGGAGCTAGAACTACCAGCATGGAGATTTGGGACTTTCCTTACAGCCCAAGAATACTAGAAAAGATATATGTTGGGGTGTTACCACCTAAAGGAACGATTCACTGACTAAGATAGGAGGTGGGTAAAATGGGACATTCAATACAACATGTATCTTAGGGAATCAGACTTTATTTCACCAGTGGATACATAATTTTTTCCCCATACTGATTCCCCAAACCATCGCAGAGGTGGATGAAGAACTGAGCAGAGAAAAATCAGAGAGAAGGGGAAAGAACTTTCCCTTGTGCACACAGGTCAGAAGTTTGTGTGCATTCAGCTGAAGTTGTATGGAGAACCAGGTGGCCAAGGCAGGGTCATTGTGTCTACAAGCTCCTTACAACCTGTATCTCAGTCGACTCAACAGCCAGAAAACACAAATCCAATATTTTTATGCAGAAACAGCTGATGGAATTATTCAATGTGCCAAATTCCAAATGCAAGAAATTCAGATCTGAACAAAGTCTGAAGTGTTTGGGGATTATAAAACTTTTATAAAGTATATTATAGCCTCATGTTCCAAGACTGAAAATTTCAAATAGGAGTAGAATACTGGAATAACCTTTTTTAACTCAGGAAAGAGACAAATAGATTTAGAAACCCTCAGTCAATATGAAAGTCTCCTCATAACACAAACAATGTCTTCCTCTGTTATGCTCCAGTGTGAGGGAGGGCATCTACAACCCAACATAATCTACAAAAATTCTTTAAAAGTTACTGATGTTTCAGGAATTAAGATCAGATCATAGATTGGTACATTGGTAAAAAACCAGACAGTAAATGTTGGTAAGATGGTTGCTTGTGATATGAAGACACATCCTGCACAGAGAGACAACTCATATAAAATACAATAAACTACTTCTAAAAGGAAGCCTCCAGCACAAGGTCACCATTCTCATGCTAAAAGTGATAAAGTTTTGGCAGTTCTTTCGACATGGAACAAGGGCTTACTTTGGACTCCATCATCTACAAAAAGCATAAGGGAAACTGTAATCAATGTTAATTAGAGAGTAACAGTGTGGATTAAATTTGTATTCAGATTCCAGAAAAATACTCAAAATTCTGAAGATGTCTATAAAAAAAAACGGAGGAAGGTTCTGTGTTCTTCACAGTTACTTTCAGAACTCCTAACTGGCTGATGAAACAAGACTTAGAGCCACACATTGCAGAGTAAGAAAGTTGGAAAGCTAGACAAAACACTCCTGCAACATGTGAAGTAAACCTTTTTCTGGAACCAGAAGACGCCCACAAGAGCACAGGCTGCTGGGGAATTTGATAAAAAATCACAGGCAATGTTACTGATGGAATGCATGTTTGCTTTTTAAACACTTCCATTTTACTACTAAAGTAGAAGAGGACCAAGGGACTGTTCTATAGCAAATAGAGTTTTGGAAAAACTTGAGAACAAAAATCTGTGTATAAAATGGGAATATAAAAACCAGGAAAGAATGTTAATATTTTTAAATAAACAAACCCTAATATTCTGATTGCACAGTGAAATCTCTCTGCAGACATTATAAATATGGCTAAGGGTTAGTCATACTTTAAAAACTAAGACTTTTCTATTTTAAAATCACTATTGATAGTAAGAATTGCCAACCTTGTTCACTTCTTTACCCACCTACCTTCAGTAAAATATCTGCTAGGGATCCTATAACATGCAAAGCTCCATCTTTTTTCCTTGGATCAATGTTTGGCTCTGTCAGAATCTGGTAGCAATATGCCATCATTTTTGGTAACACCTATGCAGGACAGAAAATACACAATCTCCTTTAGTCAAATTATTTTAATAGCATTTTTTAAGTTAAAAAATTCATATGACATTCTTAATAAATTTTATCTTGGCCAAAGCAGTTGTGAGGTACTATGTGTAGCATCTTTCCATAGTTAAAATTTAGAAGGCTTCTTTTTCATCTTTTTAGCCAAACTTGTCAAAATTAATTTCCTTGAAATTTCACATTACTATTAGTAAATAAGATATTTTTGTTATTGTCCTGAGGTAAATCAAAAAAGGTGATGAAAAAGCAAGAGGCTCAAACTGTACCTGACCCGTTTTTTTTCCCTTTAACTTCTTTTCTGGCTTGTCGCACACATATATATTAAATAAATACATATGTGTGTGTACATATATATATGAAGATACACATATATTCAAGAAGAGCAGATTAAAACCTCATAAACTTAATTTGATCTACTGATTTTGGCAGTAGCTTCTGAAGTTGACTAGACTTACAAAGGTTTCTAGGCAAAACCAACCGCTGAATATAATTTCCAAGTCCATTATGTCCTTTTCCCAGACGATGAAATTTTGATGGTCTCAATACCAATCATGAAAATGAGAAGGAAGGTCAGTGGGCAAGAACTGTTTTGACAGCAAAGAAGTAGAAAGGTCATATTCCACCTGACATAAGACTATGTCCTTCTTTGAAAACCCACATGGAAATGGAGCTCCCTCTTTACTGGATGTTAAAATAGTACCCAGAAAAACACTTGCCACTATAGCGAACTGACATGTGCCTTCCAGGACTTGCCTGGGTACTTTTGAACAGATCACTGTAAATATAGAAAGTTCTACAGAACAGTTATGTCCTCATTAAAAAGTAAATGCATGAAATGAGTTTCACTCTTGCTAATTTCATTGCTGTCAACAGGATTTTAAATAGCATCAGTGAAAATTAATAAGGATCATGTTCACTTTTTCCCCTGCTACAGTTTGTGATGCTCAGAACAGCCATGACAGAAGCTGTCTGTAAACTTGGGAAAAATCTATTCCAGTACATCTATTTCAACTCAATTTGTATCTGGTAGATTAATTTTAAAGCTGCAAGAGGAATCCATTTATTTAAATATATACACACATATTTTTAATTCTCCCAAAATTAATAGCACTCAGCCAGGAAACATTTGATTATGTATTATCAAGTAGATTTCTTGTAGCATCTTCAAATTTAAGGGAAAAATAACATTATAAGGAAAATTCAAATAAATAAAAGTCTCCAGTTTCATACCTCTTTTCTCTTCTTTGCAGCAGTATAAAGGAGATTCTGTGCTGCTGTTGTAGTGGATGCATAATCCTCAAATACATCTAAAAAATGGAGGGAAAAAAGCACAGCAAAAAAATTTTCTTTTCTGAGTAATGAATTTTTTATAGACCATCTTGTTTTTGAGATATTACAAATTCAGGTGAATACATAACCTCAAAACTATTGACATGGTTGCTTTCACTTCACAGTTAGAGTCAGACCCAAGCTTATGTCACATAGCTTATAAAAGCATTTGCTTATTGCCTTCCAAATCTACTGCCACTCATCATTCCCTTTATTAAGAATATGTTATTTATTCATTAACTCTTCTGAGACCATATATGTATATAAGGGATGAAAAATCCTGCCTCTTTTTTTAATTACAGCCCTTATAGAAAGAACAACAGTACATTCCAGTACCATCTGTATACCACATGTACACATTTTTGGCTTGATTTTATTAAAACCTCATGGGAAACCTTTTGTATGTAAAACTACTTGGATCTGGGGTAGTTTTATATCTGTTGAAAGTTGAAGTTTTTTAGTTTCATTCATTACTAGTAAACCTCCTTTAATCAAATTGAAAATACAATTTATATCTTGGAAAAGATATCTGGGCTGCAAACATACTCTAATCCAAATATCCCTACACAAATTAAACTAAAAGATTCAAAAATGTAATCTTAAAATGTGACTAAAATTACACAATAACTTTTCCTGAAAACTTGAAGATAAAACATCATTAAGAAATGCTACCAGACTACCGGAATTCTTGTTTCAAGCCAAAAAGTGCCTCACTAACTTTCCATTTAATGTACTTTGATACTTGGGGGTTTTTTTGCCTTCCACAATACAATTTTAATCTGCATTTAACTTCCTCAGCTATGTATAAAAATAAGATTCTCTCTTTGCACAGAAAGAACTGAATTCACACACCAAAAATCAGTGATGTATTCGTACCCCGGTGATCAATGTTATATTGTAATTAATTTGTTGCATAACAACTCTCCAAGCTTTTTTAATTATTCTATGAATATTTAAACTCTGTTTTCACATATGCTAATCCCAAATCAACTAATTAAAAATTCCCAAATGCTATATATATATATATCTCTATGGTGCCTGGCTTGTAGGAGTTTTCCAGCTAGAATTGCTGTATTTTTAAAATACCCTTCTCTTTTTCAATGACATGACTCTTTTAATAGAAGTAATTATTCATAATATGGCTCTATGTGAAATTCCCAAGATTTTGCACCGAGTCTTTTGAAAGAACACATATATCTAATTATCTTAAAATCTACTAATAATAATTGGCAAAAAAATGCTGAAGGCATTGACAATTTTCAATAGACAAAGAACAAGTCAGGCCTCTTCTGGTCAAAGTGAGAGCTGCAAGGACTTGCAGACAAGCTGGCACATCTGCAATCCAGGATTCTGAAACTGGCATTAATAAGTGAGCACTCCAGTCTATTTGAGCTGCTCCAAGCACATGTGAAGAAGAAATAAATGTTGAGAGAATCATTTAAAGCTACCAGTCAAATGGTCCAAACTCGCTTGATCTGCCACCTGCTTTTAACTACACATCGGTGAGATTTTGTTATTGTTTTCTTCTTTGTGTTGTTCAGGACACTGGTGGTGAAGACAGAGACGTTACAGCAGGCATGTGAATGGTTGGAACTATAGTTACAGCTATGATGAAAGGAAAAAATACCTGAAGAAAATGCTAAAATTGCTAAATTACCAAATTTCATGCGGATATATTCATATGGATCCTCTTGCCAGAGCTCTTCATCCTCATCTTTGTAGCACATCAGAGAGAATATCACCTCTTCTGTTATACTCTAATTTTAGAAAAGTCAAATACACATAAGTACACACAAAATCCAACTCCAGTACAGCTTCCCTCCACCATGCACTACTTTATTACCTACTTTTCTGAAGAGCAATATTCCTTTAAGCAGTGCTTTTTTATTTTGTCTAACAGAAACAAAGTTACAGTATTACAGGTAATTTCCTTTTGCAACAGTCCCAGATAGCAGCAGTAATTACATAATCTATCTTTACAATAATACAGTACCACACACAAAATAATACTTCAGGACATAGTTTATAAACAGCAGAACATTGCATTCTGCAGAAGGACCTTACCAAAGTAATATTTAGCATGAGAAGAGATTTCAGAATTCTTTCTCTTAACAGTCACGGAATTAACGAGCTACAACAGGGGAGTTTATGATTTGAAAAAATAAGAGCAGGAAATCACTTTTCATTTGTTCTTAGTTCACTTATAAAACACATCCTTAAAACAGACTTCAGCTGTTTTAGGTCAATGTTTTCTTTGCACACTATCTTTGCACTATGATCAAATGTGAATTTCCCAAATCTATAAACAGTTAGCAAATAATAAAAAGCAGAACATTATGACTGTCTAGCAGATTTCAAAAATAAAAATAAAGAACTTATGGAACAGAATCTTTGATTGAGTTAACAGTACCTGCAATGAAAGGTAGTTGTAATACTGAAAAAAAAGCATTTCTACATGAATGTGGTTTTTTTTTTTTTTCCAAATCAGTCGCCGAATGATTCAGAAAATCTTGTATAAAACCGCAAAACTGGGGAGGGGAGTTGGTTTTGGGTTTTTTTTATAATCACTCTGACATGCAGTGTTTATGACTGGGTTTTATGCACTGACCTGTATGTGTGGCTTCATTTGCTTCCATGTTACAGAGTGAATAACCCCTTGGTTCAGATAATTTAACGTTTGCTGAAGAACACGTGGTGCAACGTAGTCTTTTTGCCTGTACTGGTCTAAGATTCTTAATAGAACCTAAAGAAATGACAAATTGATATTATAAATTAAGATTAAAAATTCTGTCTCATGCATAGACATCCAGTGCATCTCTTCAGGGAATACACATGAACAGATAAATTAGTTTTATAGTAGAGGTTCTGGAGTTAAAAATCACTATTATGCCTTTGACCCAAAAATCATAAATGATTTAAATATCAAGGTTCTGTTCCTGCAAACATTTATGTACATGTCCACCTTTACTACTAGCCCTACCATGTGATCACTTGTGATTATAAACAAAAGATATATTTTAATATTCAGAGGCTCAGTTTACAGAGGCCTCAGCAAAATCTGGAATAGATAAGGAAAAGGCACAGTGAGATTTTCAAACTGGTGGCTTCTATATCTGCTAAGTGGTATCTGTGTTCATATTTAAGAACAGACTCCTAAAGAAGACAAATTACTTTGGAAGAACAGTGATAAGAATAGAAATAGTAAATTAGGAAAGAAAAATAGGTTCACCTAAATCTGTGAATCAGAAGAGATGCAAAACTCTTAACTTCAGTTACCTATACAACCAGACAGTATCAACTAGCAGGCTATTACAAACTCTATCACATAAAGCTTCCTTAATATAAAAGTCTGCTCTACTAAGAAGACCCCACAGTTCAAAGCCACTAATCTGCACTAATGGCAGATGAATTATTAGCAGGTGTAAAGAACTGGCATGTAAATGAATAACGATAAAAATCAAGGGCAATGCATAACAAAATACTGAGTCATTTAGTTCCAGTAGAACAATTCTGCTTCATAATACTTCAGAACATTTTAATAAATTTTATTTTGCATACAGTTCCTCATTAGGAATACTAAGTCTGACCTTAAGCCTTTTATATGACACTCTTCTTGGACAAGAATTGTCTATATCTTATACAGACTCGAGCAAAATGTCAGCGCTTAACAAATGATGAATAAGTAACAAAGGCTTAGTAATGTAATATTCACAACAGAATTCTTACTAACTCTGCAAAGAAATGTGACAAATCATCATTTAAGAGCCAGAAACTGAAGAAATGTGCAGATCATCCAGTCTACTTATCTTGAAAGCTAAACTGTCCCTTTGGCAACATAGCTTAATACCTTAACAAACTTTAGGTATTTTAAATTATAACTGCCCATGGGAGTCCACTTGTCCACTCAGGAGTGACATTGCAGGGAATTTAGAATAGATATCAGGCTCTTTCCCTTTTCATTAAATTCATGGCCTTACCACAACCATTCCTCTTCTTAGTTCTTACCAATGGATAAACTATTCTGATGTCAAACTGGGATGGAGAAAAGTAATTTTGTTTTGCAGACAATCCTGGTGTTTTGAAATCTAGCTTAAATTTGACTTCAAGTGACAACAACAGCCTGGCACCCTGCATCAAAGACACCACAAATTTAAACTGTAAGAAGCCTGCAGATGCCATGTCAAGGATATTTCATCTGGCAGCATGCTAAGGAGCCACATATTCTGGAAATGTGAATTATCCAAACACTTGGCACTTGAAAAAGTGCATTCCTGGGTGTTTTTCGAGGTTTACAAACCAAAGAAAATCACTAGCAGGAGAGTGTTCTGCATACTCTTGGCCTCTTAGGGGTGTGTTTTGAATATGTAACCCCTAAGCCTGGACAGTCAAGAGCTTTAGTGAGCCAAAGGCATGGGAACTACTGCTCCCAGTCATCCAGCATATGGCAGGCTGAATGACAAACAGGAGCTGGGCCAAAAACATCTGAGCTTGGGAGCCAGCACTCTTAGGCTTTCAAGAACCCAGTATCTATAGCCATTCTACCACAACCAGGGAAATGCTGGAAGCCCATGCTCCCAGGGTCTCCCAGCTCACAGTTAAGCTGGCAGAGAAACACAGAAAACTCTGCAAGGAACTGCCTCTCTTCTATGTAACTTCATCAGAACTTAACTGTCTCCACACACCATGTTAACCACAAATAATTAGCGCTCCCCAACAAAAATAATTTCCTTGGAAACTGTGAATTTATGGTATATTTTCATATAATATGCTTTCCAGGTATAAAATAACTTTCATTGCTGTTCTCCAGAAATCTTCTAATCTGCTTGTATCTTCCTGAAATAAAACAGTATCACTGGATTACCACGTCTAAGCAGTTTGCAGCAAAAGCACTTAGTAAAAACTGGCCTAAAAATATACCCTTCTGTGAAGTGAGATCTCTGCATTAAGTTCTTCTCTCAGCTCTATCAAGAATGTTTATTCATGATGATAACAGCATTTCATCAGCACTCACCTTTTCTGAGAATTTTCCTGCAGAGGTTTTCAAATTGCTGAAAATTTGTGTTATTATACCTCAGTTAGTTGTATGGCACTGAGTTCTAAAGAACTTCTCAATCTTTAAAAGGAAAACCTGCCTGACTCCCTTCAGTTTTGTTTAACCAATGAACTTTGATACAAGTGCACTGCTAAAAAGTAACACATTTCTTCAGCCAAAATGATGCAATTCATAAAATGAACCGTGCTTACCTGTTGTATGCCCACAGCGTAGGTTTTTAAAAAGAAGTCTGAGAATTCAAAGTACTCTTTAGTTACATTTCCAGGACTTCCATACCTTTAGGAAGCAAAGGACACAGATATTTACACTGTGAGAAGTCCACTGTGTCAGGAAAACACAGTACTTTCTAAATCACAGAGGACCCTGCACCAGCAAAGGAAACCTTTCCCACAGGTTCCTTCCAAGCCATCATTTCTCCTACAACGCCCCACTTTCCTTTTCTTTTCTTAAATTATCATAAGGTACAATATTATAGTCAAGTAAGTATCGCTGACCTTTTGTCACAAGTTCTGTAACCTCCATGTTTATGGATTTCTTTTCAAATCTTCCCCTGCCTATACATTTGAGAATATAAACACTTGTAGCTGGATATGGTAAAATAGATTGATTGATAGATTTAGTTTTCCTGTGAGGTGAGTTTCTTGCCATCTTAGAGAGTCAAATTATTTCACACAGAGCTCAGAACAGTGGCTGTGCCAGTGCAAGGCAAAGGACAGCAGCAGAAAAACCTCTTCAGGGACCATGTGCTGTTAAATTGATTAAACTGTCTTGTTTAATTGCACTTCAAGTAAGGGGACAGGTTTGTAACCCAAAGGTTTTAATAGGTTTGTTAGTTTGTTACCGCTCAAAGAGACGAGCTACAATGTGCAATGCCCACTTCTTGCACTTCCACCACACCAGCTCCGGTCTATCATCTTCATCAATTTGCAAAGTCTCCTACAAATAAATACACTTGTTTTAAATTAGCAATGTGATTTATTGAGATCAACTATGCTTTAAACATTCCTTGATGAGTAAACTAACGTAAAAGGCACAGTATCGACTAAAGCTTTGGTTCTGTTAACAATTATGTAACATTCAGGAGCTCTCAATTATCTTAATTAGCCAATATAATGTACATGTGCTATACCTGCACAATGCCTGTGCTTTAATTTTCAAAATAATGCATATTTAAAAGATGAAAACTCTCAGATATGCTTGAATAATACATGCACTCTGGTTTAAAAATCAAGCATGATACTAACTCCGAATATATACACTCCAACCATATCTTAATGCAAAAGTTGTTACAAGAAAGTTAAGGTTGTGAAATAATTTTCTAGAAAACTTAGGAAATGCCAGTTAATGCTGTACACACACAAACAAGAATTTAATAACTAATTTTATCTCGTTCTTTGGGAAATATGAATCATGGATGAAATAAAATGAAGAACAGAGACAAATTACGGGTTTGTGATGAGCTTTTGATTTTTGTTTGAGAGAAACTTGGAAACTTGCAAAATACTCCAGATTTAAGTTTTTATTGTCTCTCTATCTCAGACAACGAAATTCTGAGAGCTTACATGACCTTGCTTCCAATTCTGTCAGAAATATGACTTATTCCAAGGACAAGAATCTTAAAAAAGTATCTTAAAAAAAGAACACTTAGAAAATGCTTACACTGACTGCTCCTCAAATGGCAACACAACAAGTATCAGAGGTCTTTATAAAGTTAACACTTACCAGAGGTACATTTCTATCAATGATAGTCCGGAAGATCTCCATCCACTGAGTCATAGTCTGGTTATTCACCAACTGGAGTGGCAGTGCATACTGAAATAAGAAAAAAAACCCACAGGCATGAAATACTATTTTTCTCTCTAAAAGGTAGATCTTTCTAGAGTAGTTACATTCTGAGGAAGATGAGGTTTTAAGTAAAATTAAAACTAATTAGGTTAGCTATCAATAATACTTTAATTGCATCCTCTTGGTACAATTTATAGAGGAATTTCTGAGCAGACACAATTTAAGGAAAGTTCCTTGATCTGAGAACTTGTCAATCCTTTTTGCTCCTTTCTCTTCTTCACAACAGCCCAGCTACCTTTTAGGGACCCAGCAGTGTCTGTATTATGGGGTTTGGGCAAACCAACAGCATTTTAGTAAACCCAACGTGCCCCTTATTACTACCTCGCTACTATCTAATACATCTTTACTTCTCTACAATACCCAAGCAAGTGACAATATTCAGGCAAGTTATTGAGAAGAAAACAGGATACTGGTATATTTTTAAAACTCCCCCCATATAATAACAAATTATTTTAACTTTTTAACCCCCAGTAACAATTTTCCAGCTGCTCCTTATGTAGGATATGGTTTTGTTTCTGATTCCCTAAAAGTACTCCCTCACCAAGCTCATCACTGTGAAAGCCAAAGTCATCTCTCCAAATTGCATGTCCTTCAATAAATAATATCCATCTGATCTTCAGAACATAATGAGAAATGCCACCTACTGAAGTGCAGTATTTGACAATTACACCACAATATCCATTACTGACACTTTCAGAGGCCAATCACACAGTGTAGATACCTATACAGTTCATATCAGGTTATGTGCAATTTTACAAAAATAGGACATTTCTCCAGTAAGATTACAGATAGGATGTGCAGAATTACCTACACTCATTAAAAATTTAATCTGGGAGATCATGTGACCAGTTTTTAAGTAGAAAAATCTATAAATATTGTATTTCTATAACAGTTGTTTATTGTACATGACTTTGCCCATCTAAATGGTTCTTCTTATTCAATCCCACCTCTGAGTGTACTGAAAGGGGTCACTGTGCCCAGCAAAGTAAAAGTTTTGCTTTTTCCTTTACACAGATGCCAACCTGAACAAGAGCATAGAAGATTTTTAAGATCTGTTTCTGAAGCAGTACAGAGTAATGGGAGTTATCAGGCAGAAGCTGGATCATCTGCTGCTGAATCCGAGGCAAAAAAATTTGCATTGCTGCTATAAGAGGATCTCGCTCCTCTGCTTTTTTGTATCTGCAAAGGAAACAAAAATGTTGGTCCAGGATCTACACACCAGAGATTCTAATGCCTATTCCCCACCAGCAATTTAATTTCTGTCCCCTAAAAAAAAAGAACATCCACCTGTCCCTCATTCACTCTCCCCTTCTCTAGCCCCTCATCTCAACAATTTGTGCAAATTCACTATAAATAGCTAAAAATAGAGAAGTGAAAACCAAGAAATGTTACCTTATCCAAATGCAGCTATTGAGAGGAAGACCTACTGTCCTTTACTACTGAATTGTCACCTCACAGGAGCAGGGACCTGAATTTCTCTGATGTTCATACCAATGCCAAGCCCAAGTTGGGTGCTGAACAAATAGGAGTGAACAGCCATCGGAAGGGAAAGACAATTCCTTGGTTTGGAAAAGATTGTCTTTCTCTATTTACATTCCTTTTGTGTGGCTTATACATGTTTCTAACAATAGGTAATTACAAAAGAAGTGAGTGAGAAAGCTCACTACACTGTTCCTAATTCACACTTTGTGGATTTAGACTATCAGGAGGATGGTACAGGTAACAATATGCAAGAGACACATGTACAATTGTACATATGATAATGGCAACACTATTCATGACATAAAAGCAGAAAACAATTTGCATTCATATATATCCAACATCTGGGGACTCTTCAAACAAAAGAAGTTATAAACATATGGAGTTTTTCCACACATAGATTAAAGGCACGTGGCCTCAAGAAAAAAATGTCAGTAAATTAATACAGGTTATTGCTGGCATCTCTGCTTCCAACTCACTGATGATACAAAGATGATGAATATTTTTCATTTATTTGTAGGAAAGGAAGTATAATTATTAATTCCCATTTTCTATCTGAATTCTTTGAAGAACTGTCAGTGCTCTCAATAAAGTCATTTTCAGTAATCAACTGAGACTAAAAGCACCAATTCCTCACCTACTGATGGACATCAACTTACTCATAAGTCTTCACCAGCTGATACAGGCACAGGAGGCTCCCAAGCCAACTCCCACTGTTTGGAGACTGCAGGTAGTAGCCTATCTTGTCCACCACAGCTGTCCAGTGGCCAGGAAAGTCATGTTTAATGATAGCACGGAGGCACATGGTCAGCTGGGCTCTACAGCAAGAGGGAAAATGAAATATATTATAAGCAAGTAAGATCATGGTAGAGTGTTTAAAATTAAAGGAGAGACCCCAAATCATGGATTAGTGGCCACAATACACACATTATGTCATAAGCACCACACATATTTTGACAGCAGTGAAAGAGTTCTGGGAAGCGGTAGAAGAAAAACAAGAATAAAATCTTAGGGGATTTAATTTTGAGGAAGAAACTAATTTCAGAACATTCTAGGTAGTTTCCCCCCTCCCTCTCCACATGCATCAGGTAATATTTTAAAAGAATGAATTGCTCACGAAACCAGCTAGCTTTGTACTTTAAAAATGAATGTTTATACTTGCTTCTGAGGCTGAAAGCAACCACAAAAACACAAATTTGTATGTTTGCATTAAACAATAATGGCCTGTGTTATGATCCAAGCCACAGGTTCCTCAAGAAATTACAATCTTCCTGGGATATTCTAGAACAGCACTTTCTCAACCTTCAAAGTATATGGCAGGGTCAGTTAGGTAAAAAACATCTTACCATTCCTCTCCTTCCACACACTTTTAGATACCACTCATGATGGTGAGGCAAAGCAGATTGTTAATTGATTGAAGTGACTAAAAAAGCTGAGCAGCACTGAACTAGAAGCTGTAAAGAAATACTTTTGGCTCTGCTAACGAATGAAAAAATATTTTCTATTATCAGCTCCATTTAGTTTTCCTTGGGTATCCTCCTGCAGTCCATTACATCAGGAGTCACTGTTACAGAGTAGGCGAATATGGGGCCCTACACCTACTGATCCTTGTAGCTTTGTACAAACTTACCTTCCCCCCCAATCCTTTGGAGTTTGTGCTTGTTGCCAATTTGGTTCCTCCTACCCCCTTATTCTTACAAGTAAACCATGAAAAATATCAGTATTAAAATATCAGACTAGTTCCAGTAGAGTTCCTTTGACTTTTTTAACCTCTGACAAATCTTCAAGTTTTTCCAATATTTAAAAACCCTGTACTTTATTCCTGGTGATCATCCCAGGGTTTTCAACTGTTCTTTTAGATGCAGGCAGTCACTGTAACATCAGGGCATTTTAAATATCAAGTTAGGAAACGATCCCTGTGCCAGCTTGCAAAGAAATCTTCAAACTTCCATTATTTTATGTTCCTTTGTATAAACTTAGCCTTGGTATTTATGACATGATGGCAGGGGACACTACATGCCTTTACCTCATTATTACAGAAACAGCAAGCACTTCCTTACCTTGTAGTGCAACCTTGGCAAGGAGTTCTATCTCTTAGTGGAGATACTACTCTGTGTCAGAGCATGTTAGAAAAACTGAACTGGAAATGATGATTTAGTTCATTTCCTTGTCTCTGCACAGGCCCATTTATATCCTAAGCATTCCTGGCAGGTGTTTGTCTAATCTACTCATAAAGACCTCCAGTGACAGTAATGCTATTGCAGTCTAATTCATTCTGGTGTATCATTATTTTTTTTAAGCCTTATCTCCAATTTCAATCTGTAGTCAATCATTCCTCTTCTCAATATAATTACTGAAAAATAAAGACAACTTCAGGCACTAGCTGGTAGATTTAGGAGGAGAGTAAAGGAAGATTTTCTTCTGTTTTTCAAAGATGAACATCTATACACTACAGCTTAATCCCATCCTTTCAGCCTCACTTTAATTAGAGGGATGAACAACCACAGACTGGAGTATGTCTTGTGATTCTTAACTATTCTTCCAGCAAAAAGTAATTCTTCATTCTTCTAACATCTTAAAACCAAGAACACTAATACACATTTAAATACTGGGAAGACATATAAAAATTGTTGAAGTAATTAAGAAAAGGGCTATCAGAAAACAGGAAACAGTATTTCCCCTAAATGGTTAATTCTGTATTGCAGACAGCCCTGTACACAATCTGCCCTCAATCAGCCAAACAGGCAGGCTGTCACTACAGCAAGTGTTACAAGACACTTTGAACAAACACCATAAGAGGATAAATCACATCACAGGGCTCTCAACCAGGTTACCACATTTCTGAAAAACAAGCGCACATAAATAAGTTTAAATTAATTATTACTGCTTTTGCAAAACAAGTACTCAAAACATTGAGATTCTCACATCAACATCCAGACTGGTAGGTCTGAAAACATGACCAATAGAAATATCTCTATGCAATGAAAGGTACCTCACTAAGTCAGGAGAACGAATTATTCCTTCTACAATGTTATCACGAATCTGCTGACGATCATTTTCATGGATGTTGAATGGAAACACTGCTTCTCCAGGAGGTGGTTCACGGTCTGGCCAGTACTGTGTCACCATGTTCTTCAGGTAAATGGCAGCTAAGAATAGACATCAGGGAAATAGTAATTTAATTCTAACACACTTCTACATTACTCAGCGCTCAAGACGTAGTACAGCTGAAAGCAGAACAAAGAGTTCAAAAGACAACCGAAAACCAGCACTCGAGTTCTTAACAATTAAAGGCACTAAGCACAGTTGAGTCAGAAAAACTCTTTTCATGATTTCACACAAGATCAGGTTCAAGTGCCTGTTCCAAAACAGAACAGAAGGATATTTCTGTCAGCTTCTGTCAAGGTACATTCTTCATTGCAACAGTCTTCCATATGGACATAATACTCCATCGTTCTAAACGAGCAAACAAAAATCTGCTTATCTGTATTTTCACTCATCCCTAAAACAACCACTGAAGCTCAGTAAGTGAAGTTTTGGAAGGCTCATGTAAACAAATCGCTGCACACACAGATGGGACGCTCTGCTTGGGGAAATGCCCAGTACCAAACTGGCACGTGGCCTACCTTCTATTCAGACAGAAATGTTCACTGTGAATTCCCTAAGCTTTATCTCACTATTAGGATTTCCCATAATCCCTTAGAATTGTTCCCTTCTGTCTCACATGGAAAAACATGAAAAATAAAGTTAATCTTCAAAAGAAAACAAAGCAGCATTTATGCATCAGTACTAAAATGCCTGTAGGCATTCTTTAGGAAACATAGGAAATATGGTGTGAGGCACTAAAGGAATGTACTTAATAAACTCTTATCCCTGTACACTATTTTGGTTGATAACTAGCTAGGGGTTTAAAGTATAAATAAGACATCCTTGAGTACAATAATTTTTCTTGGTGATGACAAATTACAAAGTATGAAATCGTAGTTTGTAAAATATTTTATAGGAGTAAGAGGAAAAACAGTTCTTTGTCTATGACATGCCAAAATATTCAGACAAGAAACAGGTTCAGAAAGACCAGCCCAAGACTTTAATTTACTTTGTCCATACAAGTTTTTGGCTTTTAAAAAATTCCCAGGGAAATCTGTTGACCTCCCAATGTAATTTAAATGTGCTTTTTTATACTATAGCCCTGCTCTGTAAAAACAACAACAACAAAAAAATTACATTCTACACACTTGTTTTTTTTCCTAAATGATACTGAAGTAAGAGATTAATTTATAAAAATGACCTTATGGAGTTTAGATTAAGCATCAAACTTTAGTAAAGAATGGTTTAACAACGCCATTCAAAGTTGGATTATCTTTGAAAAAACAAATGCCAGCATGACAAACAGCATATGTCAGCATGCCCCAACACACCCAGGGGATTAATAGGATCTGTACCAAAAAAAACCCAACAGGGCCTCTATGGGAAATGCTGTTCCATAGGACAAAAACAAAGCTGTGAATAAAACAGTATTAATGATTTATTGAAAGAGCTGAATTTTCTCTGTATTTGTCAAAAATATTGTGTAGGAGTAGTTAAAATGGATTATGAGAATTTAGAATCTGATTTTACATAAATGTTAACTACAGTTAACTGTATCACCATACTTGAACTCACACACAACTGGGCAAGCCTTCAAGACAAGCTCAGAGTATAAATGTGTATTTTATCAGTGATGTGACCTTCCTTCACATCTACTTTTGTAAGCAGACACCACAGATACCACCTAAGCCCATGTGTCTACCCCGGATCTAGGGAACTAAGGGTTTTTTTCCATTTTTCAGAAACTTTTGTTTTTCCAGGAAAAGAGATTTAAACAGAGAGACATGTATTCAGACAAGATATACTTTTTTATTTTTAAATTCACACTTGTCTTGGCATCCTTACTTGTTCACCACCAGGGGAAAGAATAGCTGAAGCTCTCAGTGCTCAGTTTTGAGTAGAAATCATTCTCTTTTCATATCAGTATCACATCGATCCAGTAGGGATCACTACAAACACAGGGAGGCCAAAGCTGGACTCTACCCTATACTCAGGATTTTATCTGACCCTCATGTAGGAAAGAAAAAGCAAAGATAGGTCCTTTTCATTTCTTCATTCAGAACAAACCTGAACTGACTTACATTGCAACAGTTATTCCATCGAAATAACTAACAGACTGACTTCCTACTGAAAGAAAATGAAACAAGGAATTTCTCTCACCTGCTTGACGCACTGGAAATTCGACTTGGTCAGATACTATAATTTGCAGCAGACTTGGAGCAAAATTGATGATCTTATAGGACTGAAATACATACAAAACAAGCAAGTCACTACATTTAAAGAAGGCTGTGTTAGCAAATGCTGAATAAGAAATACAAACTTAGGGTTTTGCAGTGCTTTTCCACTCTCCTCATGAAGTATGAAAGGTTTTAGCACTTGGATTTACCCAGATCTGCAATAGTCCAAATAATTACTTGTAAAAGCCGAGCATGCAACAAGCACATGGGTGGAATAAGTAACGCGACAAGTTTCTCAATTAGAGATTAGTGATAATGAATATTTAAATAATGCTGAGAATACATAATGAGAAGCACTAAAGATCTGTCTGAATCATTTAACTTAACTGTGTAAGTCAAATGGATATTGATGTGCTTCATCAATACATGCCACCTATTTGCAAAACAGTTTGCGGTAGAACACCAATAGTGAAGACATTAAAAAAACATTTAAAATTGTTTTCAAAGATAAACAGTATTTGCATTAGCCATATACAACTATCTTTTTAAGGAACTAGATGTATAGTGCATCTAAATAAAAACCGGGGAGACAGCAGAATAAACATTTTCAATTAAAATCAAGTGTAGACAGATAACATTTCAAAACCCACAGCCTTCCTGGGAACTTTTCAAACACTACATCAGCCATGCAGCTGAAGAATTTCAAAGAGAAAACAATGCTCACTGAACTTCTGAGCAAATCAGGCCAGATTTAAGAGATGTGACACTCTGATAGCATTATACTGCTGCCATTCACCAGGGCTCCTCCAGCGAGGAATCACTGACTCAGCAGGGTGCAGTTACTACTAAGCCTTGGCAACATCAGTCGGTTCCAGCAGGTCAGATCTTTCATCCCTTGGATCCATGTGATTTATGTTCAAAGAGAGATGTTTCTTGGGGCTAGATGGCAGCAGCTTTCTGTACTTCACCTTTTATAGTGTCTCCTTCCCACTAGATTATGCCTGGCAATACTGTGGTTGTTTCCAGAGCTGTGCTTTAAAGCACAAGTATTCAAGTGTACTACATCCTCCCATAAAATCTGCCTCACTTGAAGCTGTGAAATAAGAAGTAGGTTCTGCTCTCAGAACCCAGTTCCTTGATCTAACATTTCCATAATGAGGTAAAATTGCATTCCTTTCATGATGCCTAAGTGTACCAGCTGCATCGCGACACTATCATTCGATAATTTTACCAAATCACTTAACTTTCTGGCCCTCATTTTATCCATCATAATGACAGTGTAATTCTAACCTACTCTGCACTCACAGACTCATTTGATGTTTATAGAGTAATCTGACATCTAAGATAAAAGCAGTAGTGGAAAATCAAAAGCATACCCTCTTGCAATTCCCTTCTCTATAAACTTTAATTATCCATAAGAAATGCTCCTGATGAAGTAAAGCTGTAACAGACAGCACAGGAACTGCATTTATCTACAGACATGCTGAACTGGTTGAAGCATACTGGGATTCCAAAGATCACCTTCTAATTGAGCATCCTGGAGTGCAAAGCTTGCCCTTCAGAATGCGTGGGCAGAATCTGGACAGAATCTGTGCAGCGTTGGTGGGTTCTGATAGGGCTTCAGCATCATCCTCCAGCACTCAACACCCGACCCCCAGGGAGATAAGGAAAGCATGAGCAATCCCAGCAGCACAGAAAACCAAAAAATATGCATGAACTCTTAACAGTCCTTTCTGTTCTCAACAGTGCCAATATGCTGTTCTCAGATCCAATCTACACACAGCTTTCACTACTATAAACACACCAATTAGAAATGCAACTTTTTGTGGGCTTGTTTTGTTGTTGTTGGTTTCCTGCTGTAATTCCACCAGTACCACATTTAGGGTGGACACAGTGATAAACAGGATTATCTCCCTTTCTCTGCCCAAACAGATTTTACTGAGTCCACACTAAAGTCAGCACTACTCCAGGGAGCTTTATTGGTACCACTTGCGCTGGTGTACAACTGCTGTCCCTGAAGTTTTGCCAGGATATACACAAATGCAGTTACTTGGCCTGTGTGCCAGATCCTCTCAGTAGGTGCCAGGAGTGACAAAAGACACATTACGCAGAAGGTACGCACGTGTCCCAGAGGGGGTCCCATCCCTACCGGCACACGGATATACAGGGTTCCTGTACACTTCACATACTGCCACCCCTAAGGAGATCACAGGGCCCACCAAATCCTCCTATTCCATACTATTATCATGGTCATAATTCAGATTTTTACACAGCTCCGTTTACTGCTCGTTCTTAGAAACACGAATGCTGTAGAGACCAACAGAGACCGTGAGCCCATTTCAGAAACAAGACACCCTATTCTGTCGTATTTGTGAAGCTCAAATTCCATCCTGCTCACTTGTGCAGCAACAAACCCGGTCAGGAAAACCACATGGTGCTTGCAGTTTTTAGAACAGAGGACTTTTTAAAAAGCCGCACGCAGCAACATTTTTCCTATACCAGCACATTCTCATTTGTTTAGTTGTTATGCTAATTGTGATCTTGGGACTATCCCTTCCCTGCCTTGCTCCCGACATCAGCGAGTAAAGCTGTACAGATCCCACGAGGGCAACTGTCAGGTGTGCACTGTGTAAACGGAAAGAGTCAAGGAAGAGACCTCGCAGCTGGGTGAGTTCAGCCAGACAGTTCTTTGTATCACTGCAGCTGCACCTTAACAAAAGGAGAGCAGGAACGTCATCGGTTCCACAGAAGGAACGGAAAACTATCTGCTGATTTTGAAGAGCCATGCCCAGGAGCCGCAGGGAGGCACCAGATGGCTGAAAAAGACCTTCAGCACAACTCCAGTTAACACAGCACGCTGCTTTGTGCAGCTTGTGAATAATTACATTGCCTTGAATCCACATGGTTGTGATTTGGTAAAACTTTCTGTGAAGGTGCTGATCCAAGGGGGCATGTATTTATTTTGAAGGAGAAAGTGGAAGTTTTTGAAAAATAAACTTTCACTGAGTACTTATAAAGAGTAATTATTTTAAAACTGTGTAGAACACATCCTGACTGTTCTTGTATAAATCACAGCTCAGAGCATTTACGATAAAAAAAATAATGTCATTTAATTTCCATTGAGATTAAGAAGATGGGATACAGCAACGTGCAAGGCTAGCAGCTAAACTGGGAGAGGCATATAGCATTGGGAAGACACAACTGGGTAAATTTACAGCAATGGAGAAGAGACACACATGTCCCCATGCACGTTGTTCCATCTGTGTCCACTGTCTCAAGACCTGAGCACTGCAGTTGTACAGCTTTCTGGACTCTGGTCCTCCTTTGGCCTAACATATTCTTCCCTGCCACAGTATCACAGATCCAGTCCTCAAAAGATCACACATTATACACTACTAAACTCATCTCAGGAAGAGTTATTCTTGTGTCTCAGTTGCTGTCACATTTAAAGCCCACAGCAAGCAACTGCTCCAGAATTACATTTGTCAGTGACCTTCCCACTGCACTGACAGCAATCACAGTGCCTGAGTGCAGGATGGCACTGAAGGGTGCCTCTTCCCCTGCAGAACAACAGGATACTCTAGGACAATGGATATGGGACACCTGGAAGCTTTTCCTCAGGTTCTGCAAGTGAAGTTAAGATCATCCTTCTCCACCAGTAGTAAACATCACTTTCTCTGTAACTCTGAATCTAATTATGGCACATAAAAGTTGCTGAAAAAACGAGGCACTACATCTTTGTTTGCAAAGACAAATGCAGAAGAAATTTGTATCTTGAATTCCTAAGCAATTAACTGTTTACAGAGATTATTTTAAGGCTTAAATACATTTGATCCAAATGCTCAACTACCCGGTTTACCAAGTTTTATTTTCTGTTTGCTGTGTACTGAAAATGTGTTACTTAGAAATTCCATCAGTACTTGTCACACTTGGGAATATTTCTGCAGTTGTTAGTAATATTTTTCTCTCTTGTTTTTTTACATGTCAGTCACAGACAGTTGTTGAAACAAAACAGAACTTCAAAAGACACTTTCTTCTTTCCCTCCCTGTCTACACGCCAAAGTACTGTGTGGGGAGGGGAAAACACACAGTGAAAATAAGCACGTGTAAGAACCTACCTGAGCTTCTTTCCTCTATTGATTCTGCTGTCAAATTTACCCAGTCCCAACGAAACTCCACTTTCCACAGAACTTCTAATCATCCAAATCAACTTCCTCATAAAATTCAATACAAATACCTGAAATTCCTTCCTGTAGGTATCATGAGGTGCTCATTGCCACTTTCAGAACGGCCTTAAGATCCCTGCCTACTATGGCAGCCACTCAAACAATGTGTAAAGATACAGAAGGAAGCCAAACTTTATTCTGGACTCCTCTGCTTTTGGGCAATCTTCTCACACTTCTTCCAGTGCTGCTACTCAATTCCTGTCAAAGCCAAATTATGTCACTACTACCCAATATTAAAACAAACAGTTGTATTTTTGTAACTGTGTTCTTACTTCCCCCTCTGTTACAAGCCAAAGAAATGTATTACAGCACACTGGGTCAGTGAAGATTAATGCATAAAACCTGTATGGAAATCCTATCTGAACTGGAATTGAAATGACTCTGTATGTTCAGTAATCAGACAGTACATTCCACAGCACTCTAAGAACTGGCACATGAAAGCAGCATATAGCCTTAATATAAATAAATAAATAAATAAATGAACTTAGCAGAATTTCTTGAAGTCCATGAGATGCATGTAAGAAGTGGAATAGCCTAGAACAGATACTGAAGAAGGATGCACAAAAACTGAATATCTTTCTTGGTATGACAACTGACTGTTCGAGTAAGCACAGTGTGATTGACAAATACAATCATAAAGTGCACACTGATTATGATGTGACAGAGCTGAAGAAAAAAAGGTGGGGCAAGGGGGGCAAAAGAAAAAGAGGAAGATGGAAAGATGTGTACACTTCAAAAACCAACAGGGAAATGACAGCAGTTACATGACAGAGATTACTGACCTGGCAGGAAATTACTGCTCTAGTTTAGCAAGAATCAGATTTCAAACAAATCCCACACTTATGGTTGTGTTCAGATCACAGAGAGAAGTGAAGTTTGTTGATGATTCAGAAGCAGCATCAAGCAAGGAAAAAGATCAGAAAATCCTATAAAGAACTGAATGATCTTTAGAACTGCACCAACAAAAATGGAGTGGGGTAATAGGACAAAGTACGTGGTCAGACACTCAAGAACAACAGGAATCTCTCCTAAAAGCTTGAGGTTTCTTAGTAAAGAACAAACATAGGATAAAAGAACCTTGTCATATTGAGTGATAAGAAATATGCAGATGTTGGACATGAAGATAATTGTAGATTTGGGATGTACCTAATGAGGTATTAGTGGCATTGAGCACAAGACTTTCTGCAAACACAAAGCGACCTGGTCACACAGGAAAGATCAATTCAAAGGCAAACCAGCACAGGGAAAAGCTGTGCTCTCCTATTATTAGATTTCATAAATTCAGTTTTATGACACAGCAAAGGAAATATTGCCTGTTGAGGCTGGGAAAACAGGCCACCAGGGATCAGCCCCTGACAAATATGTCAGGGAGGGTACCAAGAAACCTATTCTAGTTAAGAAGTGAGATTGCCACAAATGGATATAAATGGACCATAAACTAATTTTGCCTGGAAACTAACACTTGTTTCTAGCTGCAAGAGGAAGAAAACTCACAAGTAGCCTTACAGCAGATATAATAAGGGCAAAAAAAAAGAATCTTGATTCTATTTCTGAATGCAGTTAGATGATAATCTAGAAGGCAGACAGCAAATTCATTGATTTGGCTCTACCTTTATGCAACAGGAACATACAGAAGAAAAAGAAGCATTTTCAAATATGCTGGGACTTCTTACAGGTAGAAGAGCTTTCATTCCTTTAATCTCCATTCCCTGTGCTCTACACTGTAAGCAAACTATGGAGTGGGGACTGTTCTGATACTGTCCTAAAGGACTCACAGTACTGGTACAAGCAAAGAGGTACCCATAGAGAGGCACCATATTGGTGGAGTAGTAAGATTTGTAGTGTCTGGGAAGTTCTTGTCACTGCCTGGATTCAAACCTGAATGCCAATGCACGCTGCAGACGGGCTAACACAGCCAAGTTTTACCCCAACACCCACCAGTGTGCCTCAGGAGCAGCATCACTGTAACCACGGCACAGAATAAAGGTGACCCCTGTTCTGTTCTTATTTTACCACTTCAGGCACCTATTGCTGGAGAGTTTTCTATTTGGTTGGTGGATTGGTTCCTTTGCTAGAACAAGATAAATGCTAGAACAGCATCTGGAATCCAGCACTTGCAGGGACACAATGACATGTCAACACCATCATCAGGCACATGGGAGTCTGACACATCCCTTTGAAGTCTTGCTTCAAAAGCACTGAAAAGCTTCAAGATGTCAAAGCCTCACGTTAAGTAACATTCTTTGGGAGCACTTTTGTTCCTCTCATCCAAGGAGTAATGTCAAACCCAGCGCGGTGTCAGCACATTATGTCAGTCAGATACACTGTGCTTCATTTATAACAGGAAGCCTACACAAAAATAGCTATGCCATAATTTCGAGATTCGTTCTTTATAATAGTTAGGAAAAAATGTGTCAACTATTTTAAAGAAAAATTTGCATCTCAACCTGTTCTCAATAAGTCCACTTGCACTCTTGAACCCAAAACCTGTGTCTTTCACGAGAACTGTACTTTCCATCATCCGAATTTAAAACATCTTACAGCTCTCAAACCTAAAATGCTTTCAAAACTGTTCCTGAGCTTCACAGTAGGTACTGGTGATGTGAAAACAGCATTAGGAGCAGGACCCAGGAACCCAGAGAGCTGCCTCTTTGTTCTGAACAGAACATTGCAGTAGCAGTAGTCTGTATTGTAGTTTTGACTTACATGCAGCAGGCTGCTGACAAATATTTGTGATTTCCCTCTCAGCCCTCAACAGTAGGGATAAAAATAAGTACTGATGAACTTTTAAAGTAACTATGCCAAATAAAGAAAAAACGTCTTGCATCCTTATCTAACTATTCCCAAGAGCATTCTCAATGTCCAGCACTTAATCCACTGATTTACTAAAGGACCTTACCAACTGCTAAAGTAAGGATTAGCTGTATCTAATTCAGAAGGAGTTTTAGGTTGCCTAAATAGAAAACTAAGCCAGAGGAGCAATCCTGAAGCAGCCGTAACTCCTGACAGCCAGTGCTCAGCGACTGTTTTGTTATCACACCGATACAAGGGAAAAACCCAAGTCCTCCTATAGAACTGATCAAATATTCCACCGAAGCACGGGTGTTAAAGCTTTATTAATGCTGTACAAGGGAGCTTTCTCTTTTCTCAGATGTTCAAAGGCTGTGGTCAGAGTTTTGATTCAGTGCCTAGTACCGCTGCATTAGGGAAAGGTTTTTACATCAGGAAAAGGTTCTTCCCCCAGAGCAGAGGGTGGCTGGGCACTGGAACAGGCTCCCCAGGGCAGTCGTCACAGCACCGAGCCTGACAGAGCTCAAGAAGCGTTTGGATGATACTCTCAAGCACACGGTGGGATTGCTGGGGTGTCCTGTGCAGGGACAGGAGTCGGACTCGATCCTGATGAGTCCCTTCCAACTCCATATATTTTACGATTAACTGCGGGATGCCGTGACCAACACTGCCCACGAAACCTAACGCGCCTTCCTCCCAAGTTCCACTCGCCGCGCTGCCGAACGGGACAGCAGGAGCCCCGGGCGCCAGTGCCGCCCGTCCCTGCGAGCGCCGGGGCGCGACCCCCGCAGGGCCACACCAATGTCACCCCCTCCCGAACCGAGCTGCGGCGCCCCGGCCGCGCCCGGGGCCGGGTTGCCGCCCTGGGGAGCGCTGCTCCGGGGGTCCCGGCACTGCGGGCACAGCCGGGCGCGGGCAGCGACCCGCCCGCCCCCCATTCCCCCATCCCGGTGTCCCGTCCCCGGCCCGGGCGGGCGGTCCCGGTGCGGGGCAGGGGCGCCCCCCGCCCCTGCCGGCGGGGCCAGGCGCCCCCGTGCCGCGCGCGGGGCGCGCCCCCCCCCTCACCTGGTTGAGCTCATTCTCGGCGGCCACGCGCAGCTTGGGGTCTATGGTGCCCTTCAGCGCCTGGATGATCCTGTTGGGATCCATCGCGCCCTCCCCCCGCCGGCGGGCAGCGCTTCCCCGGGGTGGCAGAGGAGGCGGAGGAGCCGCCGCTAGCGCCGCCGCCACCCCCCCGTGCCACGAGCGCGGGCCCGCGTCCCGCACCCCCCCCGGCCCCTCGCCACAGCCATTCACCGGTTTGCGACAGATGGGTATCGGGAAGCGGGCGCCGCTTTACGGCCGCGGCGCCGCCTTCTGGCTTCGGGAAGGGGTCGGCGAGAGGTGGCCGCCATCTTGTTGTGCGGACAAGAGCGGGCCGGGCCGGCGCGCGGTGGGCGGGGTTTGCGGGCCGTGGCTCCATGGGGGCGGCCATGTCGCTGTACGGAACACGGGCGGCACCTCCCGCCGCGCCCCTGCGCGGACTGTTCTTCAATTAGGGCTTTAAACCCCCAAATTTCCTTCTCCACAGTTTACTCAGTTTTCTAGACAGCTTTCCAGCGTGCATGCCAGGCTGGGCTGTTCTGTATTTGCGGCCCCGTGAGTTGTTCGCACAAGAATTAAAAGTGAGAACCCCGGGACTGAATGGTGGAGTCAGTTCCACGGAAAAGAACTGACATCGTTCGCGCCGTTATCCAAGTGCCTAAGGATGCGCAGCTGCACAAGAACGACTCTCAACGCACAGGAAAACAGAAATTTGCTGCCAGGAGCTTCCTAAAATGCATAGTTGGGACACACACTACCGTGCTGTTTAGCATGTTTCCGTGGGATACTTGTCCTCATCACTACGTAGATTAGCAGAACCTGAAAAGGGTTTGCTTATCTTAATGCTGTTCGTGTGTGAAAGTGGGTGGAAGGTGCTTACACCCCTCAGGTTGTCAAACACAAAACACCACTTCTAACTTCAAACACCACCTCTAACGCTTCTAACTCAAGCACCTGACCCATCCTGATTCTCCACCACTGTCCTCCTGTTTCTCCCTTAAATCCCAGAACACACAGGTGAACCAAAGCAAGGTTTAAGCATCGGCACAGGTCTAAGAAAGATGCTTGTCAAAGGTGTAGTTGGCAGGTGAACAACAGACCAGAAAAACCTCGTGACTAATATTGACCTTGGTGAGCCAAATACTCTGGTTACTTCTGCAGGTGATGTTTTACATAACATTTACAAACCAGAGAAGTGTGATGAGCTGTTAGAAAGAACAGAAAGACTATTTGCTGTGCTTAGGAAGAGTCAAACGGAAGGGCAATTACGAGATCATCCCATTATATTGGTGCCTTAAGAATACAATAGGACAACATGTTATTTGTTCATTGTAATTACAGGATAAACAGAGGAAGATGTTAAAGCAGGTAGCACTAGGGTGATTTAATTAAAAAAAAACCCTCCAATTTGTCCCTTAGTAACTTTGCCTCTAATTAGGAAAGAATTCAGCTGTAACAATGAATTGCACCTACCAAGCACTTGGAGATCCTGGGCTCTCTTGTGGTTTTCATCACTTTTTGAGGTGTTGCAGAACACCTGATCATTATCTTTCTGTTTTCCAGTAACAACAGCTCTACAGCATCCAGGACAAAATTGTAGGCACTTTCATTCACCTTTCCTTTTCTTCTTGAAAGCAGATGAGAATACGTTCTGTAATCATAAAATAGAAACAAAAACAATGTTAGTGTAAAAAGTATATTAACTATGTAATCGTTAACTATGGCAATTTTTTGTTATTTTCCCATTTTGATTAAGATAGTAAATAAGACTTGTCCAGTGAAAACTGACCATTTCAAAGATCTTGGATCACATATCATACCCAAACCAAATTATTTTAAAGGATTTGTGGTGTTCTCTCTCTACTCCTTTTTCCCAAAATGGGGTGTTATGGACAGTTTAAGAGCAGATCTGTTTCATTCCATTTCTGTGTATTCATCTGTGGTGAGAGAACTTAAAAGGTATGAAATTTATTTGTTGAAGGACTTCAGTCTTGCAGAGCTGATGACAAAAAACATATTAATAGAGAACAAAACGTGCTTAAAGGCTATTTCACTATCTTCCTCAAATGTTTTCTGGAATTTTATTGCACTTACTACCTGTATGTAAAATGGCACTTTTAACACACAACACTGATTACACAAAAAGTGGAAGAGATTTTACACCTGAGATTTGGCTTTTAAGACCTGCTTTTTGTACTCATAGACATCAAGGAGGCAATGCCAGCAAGTGTCCAAATCAAGTAACATCCAGTTCAACAATGCTTATTTTCTTTGTAATATGTCAGCAGTGATTTAATTGTGGAATTATTGTAGTCTACCCGTGTGCTGGATTTTCTGGATGCCTGGTACTTCTTTCTGTACAACATGAACCTCCACAGATACCAATGGCTATGTTATTCTAAACTTAAGTTTAGTCATTAGTTGAGATATTTTTATGTAACTTCAAAAACTTCAGGATGAAAGTAACTATTTAGAAGCAAGAACTCATATTGTTAGAGCAAAGGTTCTGTTAACGCTTTAGGCTTCATCTACTTCAAAATTATGGATCTGGAACTGAATTAGAATGGTTGGGGTTTATTTATTTATTTATTTGGGTTTTTTTAGTTTGGTTTGCTACTCTGCAAATAGAGAATCTGAGGTAAAATTCTGAGATTTGCTTGTCAGCTCTCTAACTGTTGGTGATTGAAGTCCCAGTGTGAAAGGGACAAGTGATATACAAAGAAACTGATATCAAAAAATTGAAATCAAAATTGTGCCAGCATACAAGTACAGGGGAAAAAAAAGGAAGATAGTGATATGGGAAAGCAAAGGTTTTTTTTTTTTTAAAGCTCAGAAGCATTCCAGGTGCCTATAACAAGAGTTTTATACAGCATTTAGAACAAACAATCTTATTTTGAAACCCAGTTGCTGAAACCAAAGATTTTTAAAGCAATGCAAGTTTGACTTCAACAAAAATCAGAGCAAGTTCCTGACGGAGTTGCCATCAAGATAACCTGATTAAGTTCAAGAACTTGGGGAGGTGGAGGAAAACTAGAAAAGCCTTACATATTGCAGGTTACTTGGAATTAGTCTTTCGACTTTTGGTGGTTTAGAAATGCATGTGGAGTGTTGGCTGAACACAATGTGTAACACTTTCTGCTGGCATAGAAAAACAACTCCCTTATCATGCCAACCAAGTTCCTCTAAGACAGCATCTAGTTCTAAGTTGTAGTTAATAGCAGACACTCATGGAAAGAAAATGATCTTTGTGTGATGTGCTACAGGTTAAAAGTGATCCTGTGTTTTCAATATAGGGTTTACTTCATTGGAGTAAAATAATGACAAAGTGACTAGATCTGTACTTAGCATAAAGCCTTTGTTCCATACCAGCCACATCTCAAACCTTACTCATCTAAGGTCCAAAAGATGTATGAACTGATAGGTTCATACCTATCAAGCTAGGTTAGTGCTTCACCATATTATTTTTCAAGTACCACACCACCTGGAAATGTTCAGTCCACAGATACAAATTTATAAGTTTTTTCATTTTTAACAGGATTGTCTATAGTTGGGAGACAAGACACGAAATTCAGTTGATCAAGGACTTGGGAACAAGTGCTTAACTGGAGTTAACTCATTTTTATCTGGTTATGATACTGTATCTCTCCAATTATAATACACAACAGACTTTTCATATCCTCCACAAGACTCAAGCAATTTTCTCAAAAGATATGTATAGATTTGATAAAGAGTTAGCAAGGATGATCTGCAGCAGATAAATGTATTCCAGTCCTCCAGATACAAGCCTTTGATCAGAGTTAAATTTCCAAAGCAATCACCCCCACTGACTGTTTCATTGGAGCAGCTGTAGATAACAAAGCAGTCAGGGAGGAAAAGGTGCATAAACTGAACCAGTACAACAGAGCAGTGACATTCCCTGCACCACCACTGCAGCCTGCAGGATGGAGGTTTCCCTAACTGCAGGCAGTCAGCCATGGCAATTCTGGGAGGTTATTCGTGGTCTCCCCTCGCTTCCATAGCCTGGGGGGAAAAAAAAAAAATAAATCACGGAAGTACTGGTACCCTACTGCTTTGAAAACTCTAGGAAACCTGTTATGGTTTAACCCCACGACCAGGCAGCTCAGCCCCACACAACTGCTCGCTCACACCCCTGCAGGGGGATGAGGGAGAGAAGCAGAAAGGCAAAAGTGAGAAAACTTGTGGGTTCAGTGGGTTCAAATAAGAAGAGTTTAACAGGTAAAGCGAAAGCCATGCTCAAGCAAAGCAAAATAAGGAATTCATTTACCACTTCCAGCGGGCAGACAGGTGTTCAACCATTTCCAGGAAAGCAAGGCTCCATTGTGTGTAATGGTGACTTTAGATGTCAAGACACCACAATTTGAATGCCCCCTTCTCCTTCTTCCTCCATCTTGTATTGCTGAGAGCAACATCATAGGGGCTGAGGCATCTTCTCTGTTAATTGGGATCAGCTGTCCCAGTTGTATTCCTTCCCAGCTCCTTGTGCACCCACAGCCCAATTGCTGGTGGGGTGGTATGACAGGCAGAGAAGGCCTTGACACTGTGCTAGCACTGCTCAACAATAACCAAAACATCGCTGTGTTATCAATGGTGCTTTGGTCACAAATTCAAAAGATTTGGGTCACAGAGCCCCATACCAGTTACTCTTATTAACTCTCTCCCAGCCAAAACCATTACACTCGCCCATTTCAGGGTAATTCCAGTATTTCACTGACCTCAGGAGAAGGAAACACGGAAATTCACTCATTCCAAATCAAAATATAGTGTTAGTTCCTTACCCTTACAGTTTATCTTCAGCAGGACACACAAGAGAACTAAACTGGAGAGAATTTAGGTGGTATCAGATTTACGAAGCAAGACAGCATTAAGAAATTAGCAGAACTATGATGTCCCTTTGTATGCTTTAATTACACCTGACTATCATTCTTATACAGTTGGGGTGTTTTTCCTAACAGTTCAAGCAACTCCATTTAACAATTACTGAGGATAAAGGTGCTGTCAGACAGTATTTACATGAAGTCTATGCAGTGTTACCTCAAGTATTTTCAAGTTGTGAAACTCACCTATGTCTGGACATTC